TGGCCTTTGACATCCCGCTGCCTCCGGCCTCTTCGCCATCATCCACCTCCTGGGGCCTCTGGTTCTCCTTCTCGGGCTTCCTCGGGGGGCCGCCAAAGAAGTCCCCGATGCCCTTCTGCCAGGTCGGCGTGGGACGGGGACACACCGGGTTACCGCCGGCGTATTTGCCCTTTGCTGTGAATGAAACACCACAAAAAGCCTCATATCAACATCATATCCTGTCCTCTGTGTGTGTGTGTGTGTGTGTGTGTGTGTGCGCGCACTGTGTCGGGGCAGGTGTACTGACCAGGTGTGGCGCACTGGCTGCTGCAGGCGGCGGAGGAATTGGCTGAACTGGCGCCGAGAGACTTCCGGGGTGCCGAAGCTGCAACAGCTGCAAACACAATCAAACACACTGATGATGAGTGTGTGTAATAAAACATCAGTGAATGAAACCGGACCCAGGGCGGCCCGGGAGAACTTCAGCAGTAAGACACTGACAGCCTGAAAGAAAGTCCAGTCAGAGACACATAAAGCAAACAGTGAGGAGATGGAGGAGCTCTAAAGAGACTGTTCAAACAATACCAAGCTGCAGAGGGAAGAGGACACCTGTACTGGGCTTTAAAGGTTCTGTTTGTCATAATTAAAGTGGATATCGGAGGGTCACCTGTGGGCCGAATTTACCCGAAGACCACCTCGGTTAAGGGAATATTGTAGGTTATGTCCTGTCACACATGCGCGGTCGACGTTAAGCCGGAACACTTTAAATTACGTATTTTTTTAATGGGGTTCGGTGCGACGTCATCACAAAGACGAACTGCGGCGCTCAAAACTGGCGCCAGTTTGTAGAGAGAAAGATAGTAAGTTCTGGACAAGAGGAATTAAATGTCATCTCATCAGACGGATCACAATACGAAGATAAAGCTAATTACGACATCTGACGGTTCTGATCGAACATAAACTGGGTTTCTTTTTTTTCTCTCTTCGGAACCAAAAACGGAGCTAAACCCGCCTCCGTGTTGGCGGGAGCTTGTTGTTGGACAGACCTTTAACCCTGAATTTAACCTTGTGATATTTGCCGACTATACTGGCAAGCTAACATTTAGATAATTACAGAAACTGAAACATTAAACATCATTTATGTGAAATAATAAACCGGCGGAAACCATTTCCTCCCTCTGCCCGCGCTGCTTGGCTCATAGCAGTGCGCCCAGACCCGCCAGACTACGTCAGAAAGAAGCGATAGTCAAACAGAAATGAGCTATTTTCCGGCTAACTCGGGTTAAATGTCCGCTCTGTGTTACTCTACCTTTTCTGTATGTCCCGGGAACACTGTCGGCTTTAGTCCTCACCATATTGGCAGCGACCTGGGGAGTCAAATGATGATTCAACAACAACTACACTGACCGAAGTGAGCGGAGCGCCGCGTCCCGCCTCGGTTTAAAAAGAACAGCGGATGGGGCGGGAGATTTCTTCTTCTGTGTCTTCTATTCTGTAGATTAGTCGCAGTGAGGGTGTAATGCTGCCCTCTTCAGGTGGGTCGGTGTAACTACCGCCATCGTCAGTTATTTCCTATAATCGATACTAACATCTAAAACTATAAATACATTATTTACATTAAATGTGTTATCTTGAGAGGCCATAATGTTTTTTTTTTATATATATAAAACATTAATAAATCTGTAGGTAGGAGAACATATTTATCTTTATTTTGAGGTTTATTGATCTATTTTATGGGTATTGATCATTTCCCCACTTTTATACATTTTTAATCAGCATCACTTATTATTTATTTATTATTATTTAATTGTTAATGAGTTGATGTTTTGTTGTGTTTTTGTCATTGGGACGATTTGTTTTTGTGTTTTCAGTTTTTTTTGTATTTTTGTGATGGTTGGTATGTCCGTTTATTATTCTGAGTTATTTCATGTTTTTGTGAATATAAAACAAATATATAGAATCACTACACAACTGGTTGATCTTAGAGCCTCCCGTTCATTATAGTATAATATTCTTTTACAGTAATATGAATCAGAAAGCTGGGTCAGAAACACTTTATTGATCCTCAGGGGGAAGACATTATAAGAAATATAAATCACAATAACAAAGTTAAGATGTTACAACAACAGAGAAAATATAAAATAATGTGTTCACATTATTATTTTACAGTTTATACATTATATATATTATACATTATAATTTACACTACAGTCTATAACAGAAGTCTAATCAATAAATACTAATAATGACTCATTATCCGTATATTGATTATTGTAGCTGTACAGCGTTTACCGGGCCGCTAGGGGGCGGTAAACTTTCAATCCGCCACAAAACGCAAACAGGAAAAAGAAGAAGAAGTCGTGTTTGTCCCTCCCGGGTCTCCGTAGTGGCGGTTTTTATTGGCTGCAGTCACAAAACAAAACAAAACATCTTCACCAACTTCATTAAGTTTCTCTCTCTGGGTGAGTGCGACACACTTCAGCTTCCCGCCTCTTTTAATGTCGGTTAATGTCGGTTAATGTCGGTTAATGTCGGTTTATCCGGTTTATGTCGGTTTAATGTCGTATGTGGTTATGTCGGTTTAATGTAGTTAATGTCGGTTTAATGTCGGTTTAATGTCGGTTAATGTCGGTTTAATGTCGGTTTAATGTCGGTTAATGTCAGTTAATGTCAGTTAATGTCGGTTAATGTCAGTTAATGTCGGTTAATGTCGGTTTAATGTCGGTTTAATCCGGTTTAATGTCGGTTAATGTCGGTTCGTTAACTTTTAAACCTGCTGACTAACTTCACTGCTGGTTAGCTCAACTAGCGGCCAGCTAACAGCTCATGAACTCACCGAGTCTCTGCTGGTTTCTAGTGAAACACATTTATTCTAGTTTTTATTTTTCCAAACCCTCCGACTGTCAGCAGCTGACAGAGTTTGTTAACTAACTTTAACTTATTACTGTTACAACGTTATGAACAGTTTAGTCTGTGTGGACTAAATAAAGTTAACTAATATAGGATTTCTGTCTGTGTTTACCTGCTGTTTGTTTCTAATAAATAATAACAATTAAAAGTAAAATAAGATAAGATATTCCTTTATTTGTCCCACAAACAGCAGCAGAGTGATAGAGAATAACAGTAAGAGGAGGAAAATAATAAATATAAACATTGTACAAGAACCCACACACAGATACACATATTGCGCAGGTTGCCTGGGCACTTGTAGTGATGGGGAATGGTGGTCATTGTTCATATATATAAAGATTATATTGTATATAAAAACATTAATTATTATTATTATTATTGATGCTGGGGGGGGGGGCAGTGCTGGTTGTTAAACAGTCTGACAGCAGCAGGGAGGAAGGACCTACGATATCTCTCCGTCACACATTTGGGGTGAAGGAGTCTGTCGCTGAAGGAGCTGCTCAGCGTCCTGATGGTGTCCTGCATGGGGCTGGAGACATTGTCCATCAGTGATGATAGCTTTGCTATTATCCTCCTCTCTCCCACCACCTGCACTGAGTCGAGGGGGCAACCCAGGACAGAGCTGGCCTTCTTGATCAGTTGTTGAGTCTCTGCCTGTCGACTGCTGAGATGCTGCTCCAGTAGACCACTGGAGTTTCTTTCTTATAAAGTGTCTGAGTGTTATACTAAACCAACTACTAAAAACATCACCTGTTGCCTTCCTGTTCCTGTTTATGTTCCTGTTCCTGTTTATGTTCCTGTTTATGTGACCTGATGTGTTTTCAGTGTCGAGTTGAATTGTATTTATATAAATTATAATATAAATATAATAAGTAGTGGTCGACTGATGTGTATTTGTTAATGTGTCTGCAGCTGTTCGTTGCCATGGAGGAGATGACCCGCCTGGTGTCGACAGGAGACTGTGTGAAGATCTGGGATGCGGTTTCCATGGCACCGCTGGAGCAGTTTAACCCACACAGCAGCAGCCACCCTGTAGCACAGGCCTGCTGGAGCTCCAACAGTATCCTGATGGATGGATTAGATCAATAATAAGTCCTGATAAATACAACCATAGTACAAACTCATTGATCCGTAGGTTCATTTACACGTTGGTATGTTAAACATACATGTTTAAATCTGTCTGCAACCATTTTCATCTTTAATTTTCCTGATTGTCTTCTTGATTAATTGTAGTAATTATAAGAAAAATAAATTCTCACATTCGAGAAGCTGGAACAAAACAAACTGTTGAGCATTTTAGCTGAAAAAGTGACTCAAACGGTGAAGCAGAAGTTTTGTGTCTAAAAGGAAACAACAGAATGTTTTAGGCAAAAAGGCAAAAATGTTCATAAAATGAGTGAAAACAGCTGAATCCAGCCTCATACTGTGAATCCTCTCTGTCAGAGTGTTTGTCATTTAATCTTAAATAATAATAATGAAAAAGATTTTGTGTGTGAATTGGGGAAATGTTGACCAGCCTTGACCAGTTCTTTCAGACCAGTACCTGGTCAGTTCCAGCAGCAGCGGAGACAAACTGGTGGTTTCCAGCCTCAAATCGACTCCGGTTCCAGTGGTGGAACTGGCCGACGGGGTGAGCGCTGCTGCGGCTGCTGTCATGTTCATCATCATCAGTCACTACTATTAGTGTAGTTGTTGCTACTGTTGTTGCTGTGCGTCTGTCTGTCTGTCTGTCTCTCTCTCTCTCTCTCTCTCACACTGTCTCTCTCTCTCTCTCTCACTGTCTCTCGCTCTCTCTCTCTCTCTCTCTCTCTCTCTCTCTCTCTCTCTCTCTCTCTCTCTCTCTCTCTCTCACCCCAACTGGTCGAGACAGACGACCACCCACCTAGAGCCGAAGGATCTGTCCTAGGTTTCTGCCTTTTAACAGGCAGTTTTTCCTTGCCCTTGTCGCCAAGGTCTTGCTCATGGTGGTACTGTTGGGTCTCTGTAATTAATGTTTTAAAGAGTTCGGTCTAGACCTGCTCTATTTGAAAAGTGTCCTGAGATAACTTCTGGTATGAATTGGCGCTATACAAATAAAATTGAATTGAATTGTTATCTTTAAGGCTTTAACACTTGTTGCCACTGACATTCAGTTCACTCTCACCATTGATGGCTCTCTTTCTAATCATCCATTCAGAAAAAACAAACCCGTGTGTGTCTGAGTTCGTCATCTCAGTTTCTGGTCAGTGGAGGTCTGGATCACAGCGTTAACATCTGGGACCTGAAGACCAAGAGACTGCACCGCTCCCTCAAGGTAAGACCTCACACAGGACAGACAGCATTATGGAAAGGATCCCTACAGAGATAGACCTCTAGTTTAACCACAAACAGCCGTAATATCACTATCACTCTCCACCAGACTCCAGAGACACAAACACTAGTTTTACCTTACATGTGAGTTTGTCAGGAAGTTCCACAGCATCGCTCGACACTCGACATCACAGTCTCCCTCTTGTCTCTCAGGACCATAAAGAGGAGGTGACCTGTGTGTCCTTTAATGCCAACGACAGCTACATCGCCTCCGGTTCCACCAGCGGAGATCTGGTCCTCCACAGTCTGACCACCAACCTGTCCAGCAAAGCATTCGGCCACGGCAGCAACCAGGTCAGAGACTCCAGAGAACAGTAGAGTCACTGCACTGCTGCATGCTTTATACTCTTTAATTTAAAGCTTTAATCCAACCAGTATAAACCAGGTAACACACACCTGAGAGCACAAGCCTCATTTAGTAAAATCTGTTGTTAATCTTTAGTTTAGTGGGTTTCAACCTAGTTATTGTTTTCATTCTTGTCAATATATTAATTAGTTGATTAGTCAATTGACAGAAAATTAATTGTCATATTATAATAAACTGACTATCTTTGGGCTGTTAGTTGGACAATATTTAAAGATGGGAATGTCATCAGTTTCATTGATAATGCAGCCGTACTCTAGATTGACTTGATTTATTATTCATCCATAAAATGGCAGAAAAAAGAGAGAAACATTGCCACTACAAGTTCCCAGCGTTGAAGGTAGTTAGATCTCCAGCTAACTGTGATATAATAAAAGCAGAAAATATTCACATTGAAGGAACTTCAAACCACAAATGTTTCATCCTCAGCCCATCCATGACCTGAGGCTGTCCGGGTTAAAGCGCTCCCTGCTGGGCAGCGTGTCCGACAGCGGCACCGTGGTCCTGTGGGACTCCAACACCCAGAAGGAGATCCACGTGTTTGACAGCGCCCATAAAGCCCCCGGCTCCGGCCTCGCCTTCTCCCCCGCCAGCGAGCTGCTGGTGGTCAGCGTCGGCCTGGACAAGAAGATCGTCTGCTACGACACGGCCAGCAAGATGTACGACTGCCGTAACGCTGCTGCGTCCTTTATTATTAAGTTTTAATGTAGTGTATATTTAACAATAAGCATGATCAATCAATATATTGGGTGTATAATGTGTCTGTGGCTCCAGTGTCCTCAGGTCCATCCGGGTGGACGCTCCACTGACCTCCGTAGACTTCACTCTGGACGGTACCGGTCTGGTAGTGGGATCCACTCAGGGGAAGATCTACCAGTACGACCTGAGGAACTCCAGCGCCCCCACCAGGATCACTGTGGCACATAAAACCTCGGTCACCTGCCTGCGCTTCCAGAGCAACACCAGCAAACACAAGGTAGCGCCACATACTGCGAGACGGTTTCTACGAGGCGGCACCAACGCCACCTTTAAACACATCTGTAACCGTTCAGCTGTGGAAATACTGGATGGAAACACAGCTAGTAAATCCAACAACCACATGTTCATTTGTCTCTCTCTTCTGCTCCAGTCCAGTAAACTGGGCTCCACTAAGATCGGCAGCACTAAGAGATCCTCAACCAAGCTGTCAAACATCCAGCCAGACCCCGCCCCCAGCACAGGCCCCGCCCCCCACAGACAGATGACAGGTACAGGTCGGTTCATCTCATCGGTCCCTGTGAACATTATCACACTAGGTTACACCGAACTGCATCAGAGCTGCCAGGATGAGTCCATTTATTGATCCGTTTATCGACAGATAAATAATCAGCAACTATTTGGGAGATCAATTAATAATTTTTCAAGCAAAAATATGCTACAAACTCTGTTTCCACTGACTCATGGTAAAAATAATCTATAGATGAGTTCATGGTGACAATAATGGTTAGCTGGAGCTTTGTCACATCTCCAGTATGAGGACGTTGTTGTGTCCTGCAGGGGGCGCTGGTGCTGAGCTGATGTCCCGGGAGGCTGAAGGCCAGCAGGGGACGGAGCAGCTTCCTGTTGTGGAGAAGTTCAGCAGCGTCGGACGAAACAGTCTGGACGTCTTCTCTCCTGCTCGGGAAGGTCAGACCTCTGATGATGCCTTCACTGCCTCCTCAAAGCTGTACTTCCCCATTCGCTACAGGGTGTCTGCAGGGTCCTAAAGTCCCCATGAGGTCAAAATGTTTCAGTGTTTTTATCTCCTCCGTCTTTATTCGTCTCCTGTCCTCCAGTTTCTGGACAGGAAGTCCTGGTTCAGGTATCTTCAGGTGTTCTTAAAGGTGTTTTAGAGTTTCCTGATAATCAATAGAAGTATTTGGTGACTCATCCTGCACTCGGGGGCGTTTACTAATGCTGCGTCCAATCAAACACTTTCTCTCACCGAGTACAAAGACCTTCTGTAGAGCTACGTTAGCTAGCTAGCTCAACTTATAACTGTATTCAGTGATTTTGGTGAAACCGGATCAGATTTTATGGAGAAGTGCAGTTAAGCTAACTGACTCGGCTCGGATCCGTCCTATAATGGATTCAGTGGGTGGATGTTATAAATAAATAATTCAGTCCAGGTGGGCAGAAACCTGAAACTCTGTCCCGACACAAACTGACAGAACATTTAACATTTGAAACGTTTTGCTGAGTAGAAAAAAGGGACAGAAAGCTTTTATATATATAGTATACTATATACTATATAGTATACTATATAGTATATAGTATACTATATATAGTTTATATTCTTCAACAAATATAATGTTGGCGTCAGTACTGAGAACAGTATGTTCCTGTAACAGAGTTTCAACAGGTTAAAACATATCTCACTTCCATACTGGTAAAAACAGTCTCTGATATTGGTTCTGTAGAGACCGATCAATAATGTTTCCCCAAAACACACGTAAAGACTGAAAAGTGCAACTTTATACACGTTAACTTTGTTGAACTGTAAAATCTTTCTGTCCAGACTCTAGGACCCAGGGGACGTCTGGAGACACACCGTTTGGAAGAACACACGGTACGACAGGAAGTCACTCTCAAGTTTAACACAAGTTGGTTTGAATGCTTCTGGACTCACTCTGATTCTGTTGCCATAGTTTCCAGTTTGGAGATGCTGTCCAGAGAAGGGGAGGGTCAGCAGGTCATAGGTCGGGCCAGTCTGGACATCTTCTCCCCGGTCAGAGAAGGTCAGAGGTCACTCTGTTGGTGTTATTGTGCCCGAAACCTTCAAATCTTACTTAACTCCACCTCTCAGTTTCCAGGTGTTGCTTATGTTTTTAAAGTGTGTGAGGAGTGAAAGAATAAATCTTAAAGGGACAGTTCACCCCAAAATCAAAAATATCCTCTTACCTGTAACTTTATTTATTTTATTATTATTTTATTTATCAGACGGCACATTTTAGAAACAGCAATGTCTGTTACCCAATATTGTGAATGTTCCCAGAATCTACTTTCCCCGTCCATTAAATGGAAAATTAAATTCAGACCAGTTAACTGTTGATTCATTCACACTGAAACCACGTAGAGGATAAATATTACTGCAGCTAAGAGCTGGTGTTGTTTCAGACTCTCATTCAGGTGCCAACTCGCACCGTAAGACCCCCCTGGGAACGCCCCTGGTAGCCTCTGCAGGGCGATGCTACAGCCCGCTGTCCGTCTTCCAGACTCCTCCCCCAATCAAAGAGGAGGAGCCAATCCCTGCCGCAGCAGCTGAACCATGTGACTCCAGAAAGGTGCTGACCTCTGACCTCTGTATAGAAATGAATCTACCCTCATGATAACACATATATATTTAAAATATGGGTCTTTATTGACAGTCGGACAAGGCCAGCAGCTCCAGTGTGGAGGGCGAGGCTCAGACTCCGCCCACATCCTCCCAGCAGACCAATCACAGTCAGCCGGCCCCGCCCTTCTTCACTCCAGAACCCGGCCTTAGGAGAGCCAACGGTATTCAGACCCAGCTGAGCTATGACTCCCCTTTACAGGGAGCTCCAGCCGCCACCTCAGCAGGTAGAGAACGGCGCCGGCGCTGCAGCTAACGAGGCTGATAAATGTTACAGTGTTTAGCTACGTTAGCTATGGAGGCTTGAACTAGAAGCCTCGTATATAAAAACAAAGTCTGGGTTCTGATCGTCGGTCTGTACCTTCAGGTTCGGCTCTGTCGGCGGCCGTTTCCTCCTCTCTCTCCCAGAACATCGCAGACGTGGTCGGACAGGCAGGAGCTGCTCCTCTCACCTCCCTGCAGATCCACTTCATCCAGAACATGATCCACGAGACTCTGGAGGACTTCAGGTTCGTCCCTGACTCCTTTAAAGGCTTCTACCACAAACTGCTGACTATGATATGGTATTGATGAGTCTCCTCCTCCTCTTCAGGGACACCTGTCACAGAGACATCGTCAACCTGCAGGTCGAGATGGTCCGACAGTTTTACATCCAGCTGGTACGAACATCAGACATTTTCTGTTTCAGCTTCTTCCTGCAGTCCGTTTACCGTCCACGTTCACTGGTTTTTATTCTCTTTCTTTCTGTAAACAAACAACTCTCAGGGGTTTCTGGAGTAATCCTACGACTAATGTAGCTAACTGTTAACGAGTAAAGCTATCTGTGCATCAGCTGAAGCTGAGCAGCCGGAGGACGTCAGAGGGAAAACCAGGAAATATTTCCTCCATAAACTCTGATCCAGTTTCACCAAAACCACTGAAGTTGAACTTTAGTACAGTAATCAGTGAATCATATTTTCTACCTGAAGCTTGTTCTGATAAAACATCACATTGATCACATTCAGAGCCTCACATCACCAACGTACGCTTTTAGACAGAGAATGACCAGAATGAGTCTCCTTTACGTTGTTCATGAACTCGCTCTGTCTTTCAGAACGAGATCCACGGTCTGATTGAGAAATACTCTGTGAACGAGTCTCTGGTGGAGGAGATCGAGAAGCTGAAAGAGGAGAATCGCAGGCTGAAGACCAACTACTGACCCTCCGATCCACAACGGTTCTGTAACTGTCCCACCGAGTCGAGCCTCCCCCAGACCGCGTCGCCTCCCTCACTGAGGTCAGAGAGGGTTCTGGTCCCGGGTTTGGGATGTGGTTTGAACTCTGTCAGAATAGAGCAAGAGCAGAGGAAGCTGCCTCCCTGTTGGACTCTGCTGCCTGCTGGTTGAGGACTCTGTCCCCCCCCCCCCCTTCAGTCTGCGGAGGTGCAGCGTGAGCGCCGCAGCGTGAGCGCCGCAGCGTGAGCGCCGTGTTCTGTAGCTGAAGAACAAACAGACGGTGTAATAAAACATCCGTCTGATCCTTCAGACAGATGTTTTATTACATCAGCAGCCGGTTGCTTCCTGTGTGCCTCCATCGTTTTTAAAGAATAAAAAAGATTCAAATTGAAAATAAAACAAGAACTCGTGTTTTATTTAAAAAGATTTCATCTGAAACACAAAGCAGGAAAAAATCTACTGCTGGAAATTCATCCGAATCTCAAACAAACAAACTCAATCTGGGAATTTAGAGGTTTTCCGGTCATGGAAACACCTGGAAATGTTTTGTATTTCAGCCCCTCACTCAGATGTTTACTGGGCTGTTGGAAGGATAAAGACTTCAGAGTGGGTTTATCTGACTGCAGTGATCTTTCAGCATCCATTCTCCATGCAGACATTAATCTATTAATAATCAGATTTCTTGTTCCCTAGGTTGATCAATACTTCCATCACCTGAACCTGCAGCTCAGTGCTGTCCTATATTGTCAACAATACCTGGAACTTCCTGCAGTTATTGTGTTCACAGTTGTTCTTTACTGTTGATTATAATCTTTTAAAACACATGAAACAAATTCAGCAAGAAATTCAATGCTGCTCTCTAAGCAGTTGTGCGCATGTACGGAAGCGTTTGTTCTCCGTTTTGGGGGATTACTATCTGCGTGTGCTGCTCTTTGGTTGTTTACTTTCTGAGCTCGTTAGAAAACGTTAAAATATAAAATGAGCGTTTAACGTTGACGTTGTTAAGTTTTATACAAACGGAGTTTTAGTTGTTTTGAAGTTCTCCAACCCGCCGTTAGCACTGTTAGCTTGCTAGCTAACTGAGCGGGTCACAAAGTGAACTTTGTCCCACAGTTGGAGCAGCTGCTGCGGAGAGCAGAGGTCAGTCCCACAGGTAAGACAGCAGCTGCTGCGGAGAGCAGAGGTCAGTCCCACAGGTAAGACAGCAGCTGCTGCGGAGAGCAGAGGTCAGTCCCACAGGTAAGACACTTCTCTCTGCGTATAAAGCGCATTAACATTAACTTTCTGTTCATATTTCTGCTCTTTTCCTCGTCGACTGACAGTTACAGTTGGTTAATACGTTGCTGTCAGTTGTTAGCATTGAGTTTAAGTTATATTATTAGTTATTAATATCCCAGTATCAGTAGAAATACACACATTAAACTCACATTATTTCTCTCTGCAGTAACTCAAACATCCACTGTAGTTTATTCTCTCTGTTTATTGTTTATATTACTGTATCCACCCAGCTCGTACTTAAAAATACATATCCCAGCGTCCTTTGCACTACTGTCTACAAATGTTATTGTTTGTTTATAACTAATTTACACAGTAGTTTATTTAGCTGAGTTTGTTATTCTGTTTCTGTCCCACACAGGCTCCACACACACACACACACACACACACACACACACACACATATATAAATAATAAATACAGAATAAAAGCAAACCTAATATTATTAAATGTGGACATTTGGAGATATAAATATATATTGTGTTATTGGCTGTAACCACATTAAAAAGGAGTCGTACAGTCATCAGAAAGACCAGATGTTGGTGTTTTGTGATTAGTTGAGTTACAGGAAACTTCTTAAACTTTATGAAACAACGTTTACAACATGTAATCATTTGTCCTCTTTTAAATTCAGCAAACAGCTCTCTGGTTGTTTTCTTCATTTGTTTCAAACATTTGTTTGGTCAATAGGGAGGGCCGGCTCCAGTGTACAGATCTATTATTCTACTAATATATATATATATATATAGATTATTATCTATATAAAGATGGAGCTCATTTGAACTTCTTTTTACACTGCTGGGGAATAAAATAATATATAATAATAATAATATAATGTATCAATGAACCATCATTTATTATAATCTGTAGAAGAAACTGAAGCTAAAGTCCAGGGATTGTTCAGGACTTCAGTAAATGTACTTTCTGAATATTAATGTGAACTTTGTTTTCTGCTTTTTGCAGCTCAGCTCCCTCTTCCTCCTCCTCCTCTTCCTCCAGGACGATGGCGAACCCTCTGAGGGCTGAAGTGGTCCGACTTTATAAAAATGTGAGTCTGTGTTTTTTTGATTCTGTATAAAATGTTTGTATCAGACTCCTGATCATCGTCCTCAACGTCTGAAGGTGATTTAATGGTGCAACCAGTGAAACCAGTGAAACCAGGGCCATTAGTTTCATTAACAAGCCGGGAATAAATCCTTTAACTCCATCAGTATGAAACTTAATGTGGACCCAAATACAACGTATTTAAATTATGACTTATTTCATTCAGTTATATAAATGAGTTGTGTATCATTAAATATGAACTCATTTGCACATCAGTAGAATTCATTTTAGGCCAAACTCATTTTTATTTGATCATTTTATTCAGTTCCAGGTTTGTGACTGAAAAACAAGTCTCACAATTTCCAGAAAATGAAAATGACAAGAGACAAGTTTTTCTGTCTGTAAATTGATTAAAAAGACCAAATATCCTGGGAATAATCTCCCATGTCCTGAGAATATTCATTGTATTTTGTGGGGAACTGCACAGTGTGACTCTTTGAAGCAGATTTACTGGAAGGAAAACGTTAACGCTCCCTTTTTGTTTCAGCACCATAATGACCCTGAAACACTTCATTATGAACCTTAAAATGAGCTCAATATGAAGCTGATCAGTAAATGATATGACTGTTTGTGAGCGACAGTTGTCCTGAACAATTGCTCTCCTTCCTCCACAGCTCCTCTACCTCGGACGGGAGTACCCCAAAGGAGGCGACTACTTCAGGGACCGTCTGAGAGCGGCGTTCGCTAAAAACAGATCGGTGCAGGACCCGGAGCAGATCAAGGAGATGATCGCTCGGGGGGAGTACGTGGCCCGAGAGCTGGAGGCGCTCTACTACCTGAGGAAGTACAGAGCCATGAAGCAACGCTACTACGAGGAGTAACAGACACTCACACTGGCACAAACTACAGGATCCATTCATCCTGCTGAAGCACGAGACAAACATAAGAGGAAAAAAATCTTTGTATTTATTTCAAACAGCGGACGGCGTCCCCTCAAGACAAAAACCAAATAACTGAATCAGTACGGAGAGAAAACAAATAAAAGTATAAAAAAAGACAAGTTGTGAGGTGATGGTTCTTCAAATACTGCCGGGAAGAGAGCGCCAACCCGTCTGTCTCTGGAGGACGTCAGAGGTTCGAGGTCGGGGAGCCGAGGCAGTCCCCGTCAGCCAGGTTGGCTCTGCAGATCGGACACGTGGGGTTATCCTGTCGGTGGAAAACAGTCTTATTATCTTCATCTGTTCATTCTAAACCTGTAAAACATCAAAACTAGCTCCGTCAAAGTACGAGGCTACAGCAAGAGTGGCTTTATTCTGGTGATTATCCAGGAAACCAGGAAGAAACAGTCAGTGTGGGTACAGATTGCAGTCTGGTGCTTCTACAGCGTCTAAAGTCTGAACCAACTAGCATAAAGCTAGCATCAGTAATCAATACTCCCATTATTAAAGCATTAATCAACCTGATCAGCCTTCAGCAGTTAGCTAGTGTTTCTGTAGTGGAGACTAAACGTTAACAATGATCCATATCAGCAGTTTGAATCCAACTAAAAGCTCCCTGCACCAAACTCCCTTTAAGAAATATCACATTTTAACAATTCCTAACGTGTTCGTAACAACACGTAACTCTAGAAACACGAGCTAAAGGCCGTCATATGTCCACAGTCTGACTGTCAATACAGGATCAATATCATCCATAAAGATACAGTGTATACTGATCAATATCATCCATAAAGATACAGTGTATACTGATCAATATCATCAATAAAGATACAGTGTATTCTGATCAATAATCCATAAAGATACAGTGTATTCTGATCAATAATCAATAAAGATACAGTGTATTCTGATCAATATCATCCATAAAGATACAGTGTATACTGATCAATATCATCCATAAAGATACAGTGTATTCTGATCAATATCATCCATAAAGATACAGTGTATTCTGATCAATATCATCCATAAAGATACAGTGTATTCTGATCAATAATCCATAAAGATACAGTGTATTCTGATCAATAATCAATAAAGATACAGTGTATTCTGATCAATAATCCATAAAGATACAGTGTATTCTGATCAATAATCCATAAAGATACAGTGTATACTGATCAATAATCCATAAAGATACAGTGTATACTGATCAATAATCAATAAAGATAGTGTATTCTGATCAATAATCAATAAAGATACAGTGTATACTGATCAATAATCAATAAAGATAGTGTATTCTGATCAATAATCAATAAAGATACAGTGTATTCTGATCAATAATCCATAAAGATACAGTGTATTCTGATCAATAATCCATAAAGATACAGTGTATACTGATCAATAATCAATAAAGATACAGTGTATTCTGATCAATAATCCATAAAGATACAGTGTATTCTGATCAATAATCAATAAAGATACAGTGTATACTGATCAATCTGACTGTCACTCTAGAAACTGCCGGCTGTGTTTGTAGCGGGAACATAACGCGTGTTACCTTTAACCATCTGTCAATACACTGGACGTGGTAGTCATGGAAACAGGGCAGCATCCTCAGCTTCTCCCCGTCAGTGTAGTCACAGAAACAGATCTGACACCTGTCAATCAATCAGCAGAAGGTCAGAGGTCAGAACAGACACCAGCAGACAGTAACGGTCCTGGTCCAGCTCAGACCGGCTGCTGGACTCACTGAGTGTTTCCGGCGCTGCTGGCAGACTTGAAGGTTTTGGTGGGAAACCTCTGGATTTCCCTCCGGCTCAACTTTTTGGACATGACGGCGCCTTGACGCTCCTCGAACTCCAGAAGAGCCTGAAAGACGACATCATCAGTTTTACTGGTTGGCGTCCGGCGCTAACCGTGTTTAATTCTGCAAAATAAAAACATTCTTTTGCTCCTCTTCCTCACCTCGTAGTCGTTTCCCTGAAGGTTTGTTGAAAACTCTGGTGGAGCGTTCCTCCGTCGGCCCCGCCCACGTCTCCTGTGTTGACCAATCGGATCTGTGTGAAGAAACCATCAGTTTAAACACACACACACACACAACACACACACACACACACACACACACACACACACACACACACACACACACACAATTCAGAGAAAACTTACAAACTAAGTTTAACACTTGTTTAAATTGAATGTTTTCACAGAATAAAAACATAATAATGAATCCGCCTTTAAGGCTTCCGTAGAATTCACTGCTTTTTGGTTTTTAATGTAAAAAGCTCCGAACTGTTTATGATCTCACCGTCTTCAAAGCCGACCAGCGGAGAGACAGCAGCCAGCATGTGAGACATCCAGCTGTGCTCCATGTAGGAGTAATACTGCAGAGGACAGCAGGGGTCAGTTATTAAAGCACTTCCTGTTTACATGTGAGACCCTCTGACGGTGACTCACCCTGTGGTGGCTCTGCTGATGAAGATGATGATGGTGGTGGTGCTGGTGTCTGCTGTGTGTCTCCTCCTGGTCGAACTGGGCCTGAGTGAGTGACAGAGACATGATGAGCGGTTCCACAGGTGAGCGGTTCGTCTGCAGGTGAAGGGTCCTACCTGCAGGCTTCGAGCCATCGCCTCGTCTTCCTCCTCCTGCGCCGAGCGAACCATGGCCTCCTCATCGTCGCTGATGACGATCTCCTCCAGTGCTGCACCAAACAACGGATAAAATAAATCATCTTGTTTTGGATCAACGATTCACTTTACAAGTTATAATAAATATGAGGTTTTCTGTTTATGACCTTTAAATAACATTTCATTAATGCTGTCAGACACCGAGTCTGTTAGAGGAACAAACAACAACAACTACTGTTAGTGGAACAAACAACAACAACTACTGTTAGTGGAACAAACAACAACTACTGTTAGTGGAACAAACAACAACAACTACTGTTAGTGGAACAACAACAACAACTACTGTTAGTGGAACAAACAACAACAACTACTGTTAGTGGAACAAACAACAACAACTACTGTTAGTGGAACAAACAACAACAACTACTGTTAGTGGAACAAACAACAACTACTACTGTTAGTGGAACAAACAACAACAACTACTGTTAGTGGAACAAACAACAACTACTGTTAGTGGAACAAACAACAACTACTGTTAGTGGAACAAACAACAACTACTGTCAGTGGAACAAACAACAACAACTACTGTTAGTGGAACAAACAACAACAACTACTGTCAGTGGAACAAACAACAACTACTGTTAGTGGAACAAACAACTACTGTTAGTGGAACAAACAACAATACTACTGTTAGTGGAACAAACAACAACAACTACTGTTAGAGGAACAAACAACAACTCGTCAGTGGAACAAACAACAACTACTGTTAGTGGAACAAACAACAACTACTGTTAGTGGAACAAACAACAACAACAACTACTGTTAGTGGAACAAACAACAACAACTACTACTGTTAGTGGAACAAACAACAACAACAACTACTGTTAGTGGAACAAAAACAACAACTACTACTGTTAGTGGAACAAACAACAACTATACTACTGTTAGAGGAACAAACAACAACTACTGTCAGTGGAACAAACAACAACTACTGTTAGTGGAACAAACAACAACTACTGTTAGAGGAACAAACAACAACTACTGTCAGTGGAACAAACAACAACTACTGTTAGTGGAACAAACAACAACTACTGTTAGTGGAACAAACAACAACAACTACTGTTAGTGGAACAAACAACAACAACTACTGTTAGTGGAACAAACAACAACAACTACTACTGTTAGTGGAACAAACAACAACAACAACTACTGTTAGTGGAACAAACAACAACAACTACTGTTAGTGGAACAAACAACAACAACAACTACTGTTAGTGGAACAAACAACAACAACTACTACTGTTAGTGGACGTGCTCTCTGAGGATTCTCTGCAGCCCATTTCACATCTAACTCCATTAATTAATATAATATAGACTTTATTGATCACTAACTGGGGAATCCACTCACTACAGCAGCTCCAGATAAAATAAACTGAGGGTTTATTTTGAGCTAACAAATGTTGCTGGAGAGAGAGATGGTTTAGGTTTGTGACTTTGTCAGTGGAGTCTGGTCGGCTGTAGTGCTCACTGTTTCTGTTTGTATATGTAACCTTTAAAAGTAGCTGAATTAGCTGTTAGCAGATAGATGATCAGACAACCGTCACTGGATTAGTGTGATACTGCAGAGAAGTTGAACCACTGAACCCTGTGGAACTCTGGGCAGATTTATGGATTCATGACATCTTAATAAACATACTATATGTCCACTGTGTTCTGACCTGTTGAGGCGTTTCCTTGCTCGCCACTCAGCCATCTCCTCTCCTCTGCGGTGAGGAAGGACAGAGATTCTGAGGCGGGCGGAGGCGACCCAGGCGCCGTCGCTGACATCAGACTTTGCCTCCTCCTCCAGTCCAAACAAGCAGGGCTGGCTTCTACTGCGGGGCCCGCCACAGTGGAAGCCACTTCCTCCTCTGATACTGGAGTGAGGTAGGCAGATGATGATGATGAGGAGGATGAGGAGGATGAAGAGGATGAGGAGGAGGAACAGGATGCAGTTGACACCGGGGTCTCCAGCCAGCTGCTCAGAGGGAACGCCCTCAGAGACGAAGCTGGAACGAAGCTCTGCTCCCCCATCGCCGCCACCAGCCGCCTGCGTTTGGAATTATGAGAGAAACCTCGGTCGGTGCCAGGAGGAACTTCCGGTCGTCCCGGAGAGCCGCCGACAGCCACCTGAGGACGGAGAAACACGACATCAGGACTAAGGCTGCTCAATTAATTGAAATTTGATCATGATTACGATTTTGGGGCCAAACGATCTCAAAACTAATAAAATCGGAGGGAAACGATTTTTTTTTTCATTTTCTGTTGTGCAACGTTGTATAGAAAAAAGCTGAGCCCCTGAATTGGGACACAGCCAGTCTGCGTATTTCGCGCATGCGTATTTCCGTCCCTCCCCCGCAGCAAGCACTGCACATCATGCGCTCAGTATACTCGCCGTTCCCGACTTGTCGCGCGACAATGTGAAGTCACAGGAGCGCCGTAACTATTTATACTTGTGCCGGTGGTCGCGACACTAGTAGCAGTCTTCTCCTGTCACGTTGTTTTCGTTTGAACAGGTAACCGGAGACTTACAAATGTTTATGGGGAAAGGAAAGTGTAACTGAGGACTTCCTTGTAAAGTGTTTTTGACAAATGTCCAATAAATGCAGCATGTTTCTGAAGTTTAAAAAATAATCGTTTGAATCGTGATTTAAATTTTTTCCATAATCGAGCAGCCCTAATCAGGACACACGCAGCCGATGGCGGCGAGGATGAGTTGAACTGGTGACTTACAGGACTGAAATGTTCCTCTGCGATGCGACCACGTCTCCTCCGTTTGCCGAGCTGTGGGCTGAAACCAAACACATGTCACATCAGATCCACAGTTTGTTTAAATCCATCATCCGTCAGGTACCCGCCACACCACAGTCTAATGCATCACACACCGAAGGACCACCTGACGTCCTGTTGGTAAACTCGCTGTTTGGATCTTACTGAGCTCTGTGCGCTGTCAAGATAAGCTGCAGATGTTCGAAGAAGTAGTAACCTCAATATCACCAGACTGCCTTAGAAAGTCACTCAGTTTTGAGAGTTGTTGAGTGAGGAGAAACTTGATGAATCTACGACAGATTCTTCTTTATTGGGGCTTTCTTGTAACTTCAAACATTATTATTTACAACAAACATTGTGTCTGTTTGTCCCAGAGACAGGAGCGACGCTCCACAGTGCGAGCAGGACAAACACTTTTACTTTATCTGTTCATAAAGTCCCACAATGCACCATAGAGTGACTCTCCTGCTGCTGACAGCGCAGGTAAAACTCTCAGGCTGAAAGAGGAGTTTGAAAAAAAAAGGACAATAGTAGTGTGAGATCGAATCACAAGTGGTTGCTGGAGACACATTTTAATGCCAGGTGTAAACATGTCTGAGGAGTCTGTGCTTCCCTTCTTCTGTTTTCTCTCTGTTGTTGTCTGTTCTGTTAATATTGTCTTTCAATTCAATTCAATTTTATTTGTATAGCGCCAATTCATAACGATATTTAATAAAAGTTATCTCAGGATACTTTTCAAATAGAGCAGGTCTAGACCGAACTCTTTCTGTGAATCATTCTGTAACTTGCTGACAGGGGATATTGAGCTTACTAGAGACCCAGATAGACAGCGAGTTTACTTACAGGACGTCAGTCGAGTAGGCGGTCCTTCCCAGGGTTCATTAGAGTTCACACTACAAAAGATCAAATGTGTCCCAGACCACCTCAGCAAGAGGTCTGAGCTGTCTGACCACAGAGCGTCACACTGCTGGTTAATACTGGATTTAGAGCGGTCCACTTGTGATCCGACCAACCGGGACGTGTTATCAGCTGTAAACAGGCTCCAACTTGGTGGTGACGACAGAGAAGCTTCATGGAAATACCCGAGTTTTCCTTCACTTTCACTTTCTGAGTGACTAATGCCACAACAATGTTTCCTTCGTCACTAGTTCCTTTATATGAGTGTGTGTGTGTGTGTGTGTGTGTGTCTATCAGAAACTATTATTAACTTAATCCCCATCAGCACCGTCACACTGCACAGACACAGAACACAGCGTTCCCTATCTTCCTAATTATGCACACATATCTGTAGAGCTGTAGCACCTGTGCAGGTGAGACAGGGGCCACCTGGGTTACCTGGGTTACCTGGGTGAGACAGGGGCCACCTGGGTTACCTGGGTTACCTGGGTGAGACAGGGGCCACCTGGGTTACCTGGGTTACCTGGGTGTTTCTGGGACGATGATGGAGAGATCGTGATAGAGGACATCAGCTGGGTCCAGGAGGCAGCCTCGGTTCAGACCTCCAGGACTGTCCGGCTCAGACGAACAGGGACTGCCTTCCATGGCCTCCCTGCGGCTCCGTTACACACCTGGTTCCCAAATCTGTAATCACCTGGAATCCGGACTCATATCGTCCAGATGTGCTGGACCATCCACCTGGAAGAGGAATCACAGAACAGGTTAGCTCAGGAGCTCATTTATTCTGACTGAAAGGTTGGATTATTCCAGACAGATTCAACTAATTCATCTGACAAAGATTCCAATAAAATCCTCTTTGTCAGCAAACCTGCGACCGGAAATCAGTAAAAACAAACTCAGTAGCATCCATTGGTTAGCCGAGTTAGCTCCGAGGTTAGCAGAAGAAGCTCCATAAAGACAAACAGAACCATAAATTCATGTAAAAATCAATGAAACTTTACTGTAATGGATCACAGTGATATTATAGACCTGATATCTCTCCACTTTACCTGGTAGTTGTAGTCTTTTCCTCGGTTTGTTGACGGATGATCCGCTGTCTGTGCCGCCGCCGCTCGACTCACAACAGGAAGTGGACTTCCAAATAAAAGCGGCGAACTTCCGGTGTCACAACCAAAAAGCACCTAAAATCCCTCCGTTTACATTTGTTCCCTTTCAATTTTAGTTTTATTTTTCCATCTTGTTGTTTTTGCTTTTTATTTTTCTATTCAACAATAACACATATTTTGGTTACTCGCGTATAAAAACGGTGAATTAGATGTAATTAAACCTGTGAAATTGTCACTGTACTTTATTCTTTATAAATGAATAAAATATGTTTTTAAATTAAAACTGTATTAAAGGATTATCCGAGAGAACACAGCACAATAAAATAAAATAAATAAAACAGAACGTTCTTATATCTATTTTATTTCATTTTATTTTTAGGACTTCTGTTCTGCTCTTATTATTGTATTTTGGTATTTTTATATTTAATTACATTTTGTGTATTAGAACCATCATTTAGCACAAAGTAAACTTTAAAAGGTTATATGAATAAAGTTATAATTATTATTATTAGTAATAATAGTATTATTGTGTGAATATAACATTAATAGACTTTATTGATCCAACAGCAGCTCAAGATAACACAAAGAGTATATATTAATAATCCACAGATTATTGAATAATAATTAATATATTAATATATATAATAATGAAGTATTAGTGGCACTGTAACTGGAGTAGATAATCTAATATAATCTAATATAATCTAATATAATCTAATATTATCTGCTGTTATTGATACAAACACCGGAGCAAAAACATGGCGCTGCTTCGCGCTGCCGCCATTTTAGACATTTTGGAAAACGGCTGCTGCGCGCTTTTCGCGGGTCAGCGAAGTTATGTCCCGCCTACTCTGCCTCTGATTGGCTTATGCTGACATTCCTGACAAACTTAACTCTTTGAACCAATGAGGGGAGCTTGTACTAGCCAATCAGAGGCAAAGAGGGCGGGGCATGACTATGCAACCCTGGGGCGGGGGGGGGGGGGGGGGGACGCTGACCGGAGTTGTGGCGGGAAATTCAACGACGCTCGCTCCGTTAGCTTCGTTAGCTTCGTTAGCTCCGCTTTATGTAGTTTGTGTTTGTGTAAATATTTGAGTGTAGCTTCCCTAAATAAAGCTAGAAGAACATTATAACGTTTGATTTAAGTAATTAGCTCAAATTAAGTTGCCTGTGAATGACCTTAGTAAAACTGTAGCTATATTATATATTATCCGTTAGCAGAGCAGGCTATCATTAGCCGACATTAGCTGGGCCTGAAGTTATACTGACAGACACGGTTGTAAAAATGGCTACAGCCAGAAGACAGATGAAGAAAAAACACCCAGAAGAAAAATCAGATAAAAACGTGTTTGACTTTAGTCCGGAGCAGGTAAAGAAAGAGCTGAGCGGGTCGGAGGACGACGCCAGAGCGGGTACGTGGAGCAGCTTTAACTTTAGCTTTAACTGCTGTTACAGATATAACGTTATATATTAATAGTAGTCAGTATATATATCTTTAAACTGCTGTTACAGATATATATATTAGTAGTAGTCAGTATATATATCTTTAAACTGCTGTTATAGATATATATATTAGTAGTAGTCAGTATATATATCTTTAAACTGCTGTTATAGATATATATATTAGTAGTAGTCAGTATATATATCTTTAAACTGCTGTTATAGATATATATATTAGTAGTAGTCAGTATATATATCTATAAACTGCTGTTACAGATATATATATTAGTAGTAGTCAGTATATATATCTATAAACTGCTGTTACAGATATATATATTAATAGTAGTCAGTATATATATCTTTAAACTGCTGTTACAGATATATATATTAGTAGTAGTCAGTATATATATCTTTAAACTGCTGTTACAGATATATATATTAGTAGTAGTCAGTATATATATCTTTAAACTGCTGTTATAGATATATATATTAGTAGTAGTCAGTATATATATCTTTAAACTGCTGTTACAGATATATATATTAGTAGTAGTCAGTATATATATCTTTAAACTGCTGTTACAGATAGATATATTAGTAGTAGTCAGTATATATATCTATGAATTGCTGTCAGCTCTTAACCTCTGTCGATAAAAGGATGTTAACTTTGATTTTTAATGTCTGATACAAGATGAAACTCCGATAGTGGAAAAGTTGGCCAAGAAGAGACCAGCAGCTGACATGGAAGGAGAGGGGCCAGGGTATGCTGTGGTGTATTGATTATTAATAATGTGTCATTACACTGCAGTCGCTAATTAATGTAGGCTAAATTAATATGAAAGTAAAGTTTCTTTTTCTCCACACTTTCAGAAATGAGGTACAGTCCATGTTGGAGAAATTTGGAGGTAAGCAGGTTTGTGCAGGTGTTTGCTTTTATCCTGATTGTATTAATAAGGGTGGGAATATAATATATAATTTCATTATAATTGGATTACTGAGATAAAACAGTACATAGTATTGAATGGTGAAAAAAGGGATTTTAACCACAGATGATTAGATTATAACGAGGGTTAAAAGGTCATCACATGGCTCCTACGAGTCATGGAAACACCTGGAAATTGATTAAAATGAGCAAATATCCTGAAAATAATTGATGTTGTCCTGGAAATTTTTAATTGTATTTTAGCTCCTCAGATAACATCACAACATTTTCTGTAAAACAAGATCCATTCTACTTCATTTAAATTTATTATGGGCTGTCGTCATAATGTATGGGAGAGGAAAACTGTAAGTCAGTTAGCTGGAGACTGCAGTGGAACAATAGAGTTAACACAGAGTCTCACATAAACCAATGACAACCTGCAAGAAACCTGAGACACTGCATCAGTGAAAAAGGAGTCGATACAAAGCCTACAGGTAAATGATAAAAGAGTGGCAACCCTGTGAGATATGATGATCTTTACAGGAGAGCCAAAACAAAAGATGACCACACTGTGTTCTGACTTTGTTTATTAAATGTTAAAATGTCATAAACATGTAGATGACAATATACTTTTTAAGTGGACTCAAGCCCTTTAGTCACAAACAGCTAAGTGTGTTAAGTCTTTTGGTTTTTGATTCATAACTCGATTAGAGTTCATGTGTGTCTTTCTTTGCTCATCAAGAGCTTTTATTTGATAAATAACTAATTTTTTCCCACTTACACTCCTCTGGTCCTCTGATATAGTCTCTGTTAGACGGCTTGTTGTTAAGAAAATATTAACACAAATATGTGTGAGCATGTTGGTATTAACCTGTTATTAAATTAGAAAACACTGTATAAAAATGTGCATCTGCTTTGGTATCAATTTGAAAACTCAATGCTGCTCTGTTTGCTTCCAGCTGATATCAGTAAGGTGATGCAGGCTAAGAAGAAGCGTCTGGAGTGTCTGACCAAGAACTACATGAAGGGAAGCCAACACAAACTGGAGCAGCTGTGGAACACCTACCACAACCAGAGGTCTGATTCTCCTTCCTGGGACTTCACTGACATCAATGACAAACACTACAGCAGGCAAACAGTATATAAAAGCCAACTGAAGTTTTTATCACAAAATGGAAAAAGGTCTCATTCTGTACTATTATATGTTTTGTATGTATGTATGTAATTGGCGTGAACTCACCGTGAAACTTTTGGGCCGTTCAGTACAGAAAAAGAGATTTTATTTTACCTAGTTCAATGAAACACAAGACATATCTGTCCAGCTGGTGTTAGCACTATGTGGACACAAGCCTTTACCCGTAACAAAGTATTTCTACACTGTGGTACTGGTACTTTTACTGGATCTGAGTACTTCGCCTCCACTGTTAAACATTGCAGTGTAAAATGTGTGTGTCTGCAGGAAGAAGATGACTCACCAGTACTCCCAGCAGGTGTCCTCCGCGTTGCAGCAGTGGGAAGCTGAAGCCCAGCGAGCTGAGGAGCAGGAGGAGGAGCTCAACGTATGTTCACCTCCTTACTGTACTGGTTAGGTAGAGCCACAGGGTTGATGCTCTGTGACGTAGTGAAGGGTTGTAGTAGTGCAGCATGCATCACACACAGCTGGTGTAATCTTAGGTTGGTGATTGTCTGCACACAGCGGTACTGACTAAACACTCATACAACCTCTGCTGTGATTAAAGTAGAGCCAACCTGAACTCTTCATAGTCTCCTAGATGAATAAAGAAAACAAGGAAGAATTTTGAAGGGCAGAGAAAATGAGTAAATGTTCTCATTCTGTGGTTAGTGGCAGCGTGTTCAGGGTGTCTGCGGCTGTCTTAAAATTTATTAAAAGTTGATCAGTTTAGTTTTTCTTCTTCGAGGTATTACATTTTATAGATTGTTTTAAATATGCATAGATACTAAAGATGCTAAAGTTTGCATGAATTTAATGATTGGCCGCAGTGGAGTTACTGAATCCTGTTAGATTTAAGGTCACCAGAGGAGGATCAGCACACTCACTGACTGTTTGTTCCTCCTCTCTGTAGAATCTGTTCAGACAGCAGCAGAAGATCCTGCAGCAGGCCAGAGTGGTCCAGAACCAGAAGCTGAAGACCGTCAGAGAGCTGTACGAGCAGTTTGTGAAGGTGAAGAGGATGTTTTCATTCTGCAGAGACAAGAGGAGGTGTTCAGAAAAACATCTTGATCTTCACAAACTTGTCGAGTTTGTTGGCTGAAGATGTTTGGTTATTAGATACAGAATGCAGAGCAGGAAGGAGGTGATACAGATGTGTTTGTATTTCCTCCAGAACATGGAGGACATGGAGAAGAGCCACGATTCTTTCATACAGGGGGCGCAACAGGAGCTGAGGAAGGAGATGGCCACCCTGCAGAAGAAGATCCTCATGGACACAGTGAGTTAACAGTGGATTGTAATGTTACAACCAACTTAAATTTTTTTTTAATAAAAAATAATAAAATGGAGTCATTACAGAACAAAGTCATAGAATACTGTTCAGGATATACTGACCCAGATAGTTAACAACTGATGTAAATTAGCTTGCTAGTCAGTTAGCATGTTGCTACAGAGACAGCCATCCACATATATAAAGGGCGTATGGGCGGGACCTCGATACCGATTCATTAGTACAGTGGGAGGAAGTGGACACAAACAGTAGCCAACTAACTACATCCTATACAGTAATGGATTAAAGTAATGCAGTAAAAGTAAAAAAAACAACAAAAGCATATGATGTCACATCCTCTTGTGCTCCACATTCATATTGTTTGTTTGTTTCCATAGCAACAGCAGGAGATGGCCACAGTTCGTAAATCGCTGCAGTCCATGCTGTTCTAGCCTGTTACCACGGCTACGGAGCTAGTTCCTGCTTCCAGGTGTCTTAGGTCGGTGTTACCATGGTTTCTGTAGTCCTGTAGCGTTGTCATGGTTACGTTTGTTTTTTTACATATAAGAGTTCATTTGACGACTGTGTTCTCTGTTCTGTTCCAGCAGCAGTTTGTGATTCAGATTAGTTGAATTCAAATAAGAATGAACTCTGAATGAATTAGCTCTGATAGCTGAGCTGTTTATCTGTTGTGGTTTCTGTCTGTCAACACAGTACGGTTGGAAAGACTGCACAGCTCGTAAAGTTTTATTAGAAACTTTATTAGAAAATCATCTCTATTACAAATCCTTTGTATGAATTCATCTGTAGACGATTTGAGTCAAAGAGCTGATTTCAAACTGAGAAATGAATAAATGAAAGATTGTTTATGTACGGCCCAGTTTGGTACAGTCTGATGTTTTAAAGTCTCCTGTTCAGACTGTTGACAGTTCAGTCTCATTATAATTAACATTCACAGGCCTTTACATTGAGACAGGATGTGTCTGTATAAAGTAATAATAGATTAACCCACTGGTTCCCAACAGTTTCTATCAGTGAGTGAACTGACTGTATGTTCAGTATATTTCATATTGATCAGTATCAATAACTGCAGGAAGTTTGATTATTTCCTGTGAATATTGATCATTGATCAGACAGATTCATTGATTGTTCTATCAGCTGGCATCTGTTGCAGGACGAGGCTGTTGATCAGAGACTGAAGGTTCTGTGAATCCAGCTGGTGTTCAGGTTCTGTTTATATCTTAAATAATAATATAAACTTTGAAAATAACAATTTCATTTAGTTTTATTGACAGAAATGAAATAAAGGAAGTGTTTGAGGCTGCAGTGTCTGCAGCTCTGAAGCCTCCGCACAGAAAAACAATCAGCAAATACAAATGAAATATAACGTCTGTAAAAAAGATTCATCTCACTGTTGTCCTTAACGTGAATCAGAACGGAGATTCAAATGTTTTTCATGTTCACAATGACACAGAAGAGTCTCAGTTCGTTTAAATATCAAACTTTTCTTCACAAATACAATGTCCGTTCTCTTCGTAGTCCTCTCGCGTCACCACGATCTCGTCGTAGTCTGGACTGTGAGCCAGCAGCTTCCCTCCTTCCCACGAATAACTGATGGGACTGCAGGACAGTAAAACACCATTAATGACGAGCTAGCACCAGACTGCAGAAACAGAGACGTAACCCGTTGGAAGTCTTACTTTGTTGGCAGAAGGACAGAGACGGGGAGGTGGGCGGGGGCGAGGGATCGCAGCTCTGCCTCCATTCGCTCTCTGAAGCCTGGAAACAAAGTGTTTCCTCCAGTCAGGACGATGTTCTGGTAGAAGTGGGGCTGCATGTCTGATGGCAGAGAACACATTTTCACTGAGTACGTATTGATGAACATGGAAACTAAATGTGGACACAGGAAGACAACTAGCTGTAGAAACAACCATGGTTGTACAGTTTAAAGTATATTCCTCTAGCAGCTCAATCACTCGGTCTTCATTCATTTTTATTATGAGCGAGTGTCAAACACCAGATGATTATTATTTCACAACTTTATTTTAACTCAACAACAAACAAGACAATGCACAAAAACAATCACAACACCATCACCAATGCTTGACGACCACAAGCAGTGAGTTAGACCGCCTGGACCTGTGACCTCTACAGCAGAAAACCCAGTATGTGGTCTGACCTTCTGGCAGGGACTGGATAGAGTCCACAATGGCCTCTGGGATGCCCATCTCCTGGATGCCGATGTCTGACGGGTGGAAGAGCATCTCGGGAACGGCAAAACGCTCGTTGACCAACCTCAAGATCTGCTCTCCCGTCTTATACTTCCCACTGAAGATCATCTCCTCCAGCGGCTGGAGGACAGAAAGACCACAGAGGACGATGAGGACTGAATGAGGCCTCAGACCGGGTCTGGACAGACATTATACTAACAGATATTAACAGATATTATGATATTAACAGATACTAACAGATATTATTATATTAACAGATATTATGATATTAACAGATATTATTATACTAACAGATATTATATTAACAGATATTAACAGATATTATGATATTAACAAGATATTATTATATTAACAGATATTATTATAGTAACAGATATTATTATACTAACAGATATTATTATATTAACAGATATTATGATATTAACAAGATATTAACAGATATTATTATATTAACAGATATTATTATATTAACAGATATTATGATATTAACAGATATTATTATACTAAGATATTATTATATTAACAGATATTATTATACTAACAGATATTATTATAGTAACAGATATTATACTAACAGATATTATTATATTAACAGATATCAACAGATATTATTATATTAACAGATATTATTATATTAACAGATATTATTATAGTAACAGATATTATTATACTAACAGATATTATTATATTAACAGATATTAACAGATATTATGATATTAACAAGATATTAACAGATATTATTATATTAACAGATATTATTATATTAACAGATATTATTATACTAACAGATATTATTATACTAACAGATATTATTATATTAACAAGATATTAACAGATATTATTATATTAACAAGATATTAACTAAGATATTATTATATTAACAGATATTATTATACTAACAGATATTATGATATTAACAAGATATTAACAGATATTATTATAGTAACAGATATCAACAGATATTATTATATTAACATATTATTATATTAACAGATATTATGATATTAACAGATATTATTATACTAAGATATTATTATACTAAGATATTATATTAACAGATATTATTATAGTAACAGATATTATTATACTAACAGATATTATTATAGTAACAGATATTAAAGATGTTCTCACCTTGCAGAAGCCTTTTTTGATGGAGCTAAAATCTGGAAGAACATAATCCTTCATCACAGAGTTTTCTTCCCCCTTCATCCTGACAACACAGAACAGTCCAACAGTGAATCCAGATCCTCTCTATCACCCACTGGTGACGGACTGTGTGTGTGTGTGTGTGTGTGTGTGTGTGTGTGTGTGTGTGTGTGTGTGTGTGTGTGTGCTTACTGTGCGACCTCCATGTCTTTGTAAAACTGCTGGGAGACGTAGCAGACATCTTCTTTCACCTGGTTGATTACGTGAGTTTCATCCATAACATGTAACTGTCTGGAAGGAACAGAGAGATTATTATTATTTAATGTCTGTGAGAAGAAACACTGTTTACCATCTCCAGATAAAACATCACCGATATGAGATGATCTCCTTCAGGTGATTGGTCAGTAGTTTCCCTCCTACGTTGATCCTGGAAGGCAGAACAAACCAATCAGCATTGTGTTGTTGTTATAAAACTGCAGCAGCTAAATAACACCGTTGCCGTCCTCTGACCTGCGGATGCCCTCCTTCATTTTCCTGCTGCGGCAGTAGGGGGCGATGTGAGTGAAGGAGAATCCGCTGTCGACCACCAAACAGCAGAGCTCCGACGGTTTAGAGTGGAAGTAGTGATGAGCGCTGAGAGAGCCCGCTGGACAACAGAGGTTCAGATTTAATATGGAGCTGTCATTAAACATTAAACAGCGCCACCAGTGGCCATTCAGTGAACTGCAGTCAGCGTCCTCACAACACTGTTTGTCAGAATACATAAGTCAGAGTCATGAATCCAGTTAGCTGGCCAAGCTAAGGTTAGCCAGCTAAAATCTGACTGTTGTGAACGATGTGAGCGAATCATTGAACCTGAGATTTGCCGACTCACCGTTTATCCTGAGAGCCGACTGGAACTGGTACTCCTCGAACAGGATCTCATTCATCGACTCCTGAATGGAGGAGAAGTTGAAGTAGGGCTCTGTGATGATGACGCTGGTGTCTACAAACTCCACCTGGACCCAGAACATCAGACCAGATCAGATCAGACCAGATCAGACCAGACCAGATCAGACCAGACCAGATCAGACCAGATCAGAAGACAATGCCATTAAAAATATCTCCAAGAAGAACAAAGTAAAAGTTTATAGAAGTATAAACCTTAAACATCTCCTTTCCAAACAGATGGTCCCACACTTTCCTCTGGACGTCCCAGTTGACCAGGTAACCCTGAGGACAAAGAACAGGAGACAGCCAATGAGAAAGAGTCTCTGAAGCCTTGAACAACCACCCGTCTGTCTCCCTGCGCTGACTGTCTCACCTTCTGGAAGGGCAGGATGTAAAAGAGACCCGAGGGATCTTTGATCTCATCGAGCTGATTGGCTGTGAACGTTTTTAATCTGGACGTCTTGGAGCGGAACTGGCAGTTTGGGATGACGCTGAGGGAGAAAGAGAGAAAGCAGCTTTTCATTTCCTGTAAGATGAAGTTTACAGAAACTGCTGCTGTACTCAGGCAGACATGTTGTTTCGTTCCAGTCGGTTTACAGTGTCTCTACAACTACTGTTAAATATTTTACTCTGAAAGGAATCTGCAGTTCTAGGGCTGCAACATCATTTTCATTATCGATTTATCTGTCAATCATTTTCCAGATTCGTCGATTAGTTGTTTGGTCCAGATGATGCTGAAAATTATTGATCAGTGTTTGCACACACACACACACACACACACACACACACACACACACACACACACACACACACACACACACACACACACACACACAGACAGACAGACAGACAGACAGAAGAAAGATATTAAGTGGAGATGAATTTAGTAGCTCTCCTGTGTTCTGACTGTAGTTGTCAGTCTCGCTGTGAATCTTATCTCATTACAGTAACTGTTGAACCCGTTACAGTGACTGTTGAACCCGTTACTGTGACTGTTGAACCCGTTACTGTGACTGTTGAACCCGTTACAGTGACTGTTGAACCCGTTACAGTGACTGTTGAACCCGTTACAGTTACAGTAACTGTTGAACCCGTTACAGTAACTGTTGAACCCGTTACAGTAACTGTTGAACCCGTTACAGTGACTGTTGAACCCGTTACAGTGACTGTAGAACCCGTTACAGTAACTGTTGAACCCGTTACAGTAACTGTTGAACCCGTTACAGTGACTGTTGAACCCGTTACAGTTACAGTTACAGGAAGCAGAGCTGCTGTCTTACACACTTCTCTGCGCTTTCTTTAGAACAGTCACCCACCCAAAACCCCATAGAGACTGTGTCTGTCCCCCGACCACCTAAACTATTTAAAGAAATAAAAACAAGAGGAGTTCAACATAAAAATCTAATAAAAATTAAAACCAACTCCTCAGTAGCACAAAATAAGAGAATGAAATGTGGGCTGTTAAATATCAGGTCTCTGTCCTCTAAAGCTGTTCTAGTGAATGAATTAATATCAGATTATGATATTGATTTACTTTGTCTTACTGAGACCTGGTTGTCCCAAGAGGAGTTTGTTAGCCTAAATGAATCCACCCCCCCCAGTCATATTAATACTCACATTCCTCGAGGCACAGGCCGAGGAGGTGGAGTAGCAGCCATATATTCATTCAATTCAATTCAATGCGATTAATATATGATTCGAGCGTTTTTATGGACCCTAAACCTAAACTAAATTATAATTCATTTGAAAGCCTTGTTCTTAGTCTTTCTCACCCAAACTGGAAAACACTGCAGCCAGTTCTATTTGTTATAGTGTACCGCGCTCCTGGACCGTACTCTGATTTTATATCTGAATTTTCAGAGTTTTTATCAAGCTTAGTCCTTAAATCAGATAAAGTAATTATTGTAGGTGATTTTAATATTCATGTGGATGTTGACAATGACAGCCTTAGTAATGCATTTATATCATTAATAGACTCAATTGGCTTCTGTCAGAGTGTAAATAAACCAACTCATTGTTTTAATCACACTCTTGACCTTGTTTTATCATATGGCATTGATATTGAACATTTAATAGTCTTCCCACATAATCCTTTCCTATCTGACCATTATTTAATTACTTTTGAATTCATACTATTAGACTATAAGCCATTAGGCAAAACTTCCTACAGCAGATGTCTATCTGACAGTGCTGTAGCTAAATTTAAGGAGGAGATTCCTTCAGTGTTTAATTCAATGCCATGTCTGAATTTAACAGAGTCCTATAACGACTTTAGTCCCTCTGAAATTGATAATCTTGTCGATAGTGCTACAGGCTCACTACGATCAACATTAGACTCTATCGCTCCTATAAAAAGGAAATGATTAAAACATAGGAGACTAGCACCGTGGTACAACCACCAAACCCGCCAGTTAAAACAAATAGCTAGAAAATCTGAAAGGAAATGGCACTCTTCCAAATTATCAGAATATCGCTCAAATTGGCAAGATAATCTTAAAACCTATAGAAAGGCCCTCCGTAATGCCAGAGGAGCCTATTACTCAGCACTAATAGAAGAAAATAAGAACAACCCTAGGTTCCTCTTCAGCACTGTAGCCAGGCTGACAGAGAGTCACAGCTCTATTGAGCCACATATCCCCATAAACTTAAGTAGCAATGACTTTATGAGCTTCTTCTATAATAAAATTATTACTATTAGAGAGAAAATTAATCACCAACTGCCATCAACAGTTATCAGTGGCTCTCCAAGTTCAGGGACTTCTGTCAATGTAAACTTAGATGTATATTTAGATTGTTTTTCTGCTATCGATCTTCATCAGTTAATTTCAATCATTTCTTCATCGAAGCCATCAACCTGTCTATTAGACCCGATCCCAACTAGGCTGCTTAAAGAAGTTGTTCCCTTAATTGGCACTTCTTTACTAGATATGATTAATCTTTCTTTATTATCAGGATATGTACCACAGTCCTTTAAAGTAGCTGTAATTAAACCCCTTCTTAAAAAGTCCACTCTTGACCCAGGGGTTTTAGCCAACTATAGACCGATTTCTAACCTCCCCTTCCTCTCTAAGATTCTGGAGAAAGTAGTCGCCAAAGAGTTGTGTGACTTTCTACATAACAATAGTTTATTTGAGGATTTTCAGTCAGGATTTAGAGTTCATCATAGCACAGAGACAGCTCTGGTTAAAGTTAATAATGACCTTCTGACTGCTTCTGACAATGGACTTGTCTCTGTACTTGTATTATTAGATCTTAGTGCTGCATTTGACACCATTGACCATAATATTCTTTTACAGAGACTTGAGCATCAAATTGGCATTAAAGGAACCGCCCTAACCTGGTTTAAGTCATATTTATCAGATCGTTCTCAGTTTGTACATGTTAACGATTAATCTTCCATAAAGACTACAGTTAGTCATGGAGTTCCACAAGGTTCTGTACTTGGACCAATACTATTTACTTTATATATGCTCCCTTTAGGCAACATTATTAGGAATCACTCCATTAACTTTCACTGTTATGCAGATGATACGCAGTTATATCTATCAATCAAACCCAATGAAATTAATCAATTATCTAAATTACAAACATGTCTTAAGGACATAAAATCCTGGATGACCTGCAATTTTCTGATGTTAAACTCAGAAAAAAACCGAAATTCTTGTTCTTGGCCCCAAAAACCTTAGAGACTACTTTTCTAAAGATATAGTTACTCTAGATGGCATTAACTTGGCCTCTAGCACCACTGTCAGGAATCTTGGAGTTATCTTTGATCAGGATTTGTCATTTAACTCCCACATAAAGCAGACCTCTAGGACTGCCTTCTTTCATTTACGTAATATTAGAAAAATTAGACACATACTATCACAGACAGATGCAGAAAAACTAATCCATGCATTTGTTACTTCAAGGCTGGATTACTGCAACTCTTTATTATCAGGTTGCCCCAATAAGTCCATTAAAATGCTCCAATTAATTCAGAACGCTGCAGCACGAGTACTGACAGGAACTAGAAAAAGAGATCACATCTCTCCTGTACTAGCTTCTCTGCATTGGCTCCCTGTAAAATGTAGAATTGAATTTAAAATCCTCCTCCTCACCTATAAAGCTCTTCATGGTCAGGCCCCTTCATATCTTAAAGAGCTCATAGTACCCTATTACCCCACTAGAACACTACGTTCTCTGAATGCTGGGCTACTTGTGGTTCCTATAGTCTCTAAAAGTAGAACAGGAGCCAGAGCCTTCAGTTACCAAGCTCCTCTCCTGTGGAACCAGCTTCCAGTTGTGGTTCGGGAGGCAGACACCCTCACCACATTCAAGAGTAGGCTTAAGACATTCCTCTTTGATAAAGCTTATAGTTAGGGCTGGATCAGGTGAGTCCTGAACCATCCCTTAGTTATGCTGCTATAGGCCTAGACTATGGGGGATTTCCCATGGTGCACTGAGCTCCTCTCTTCCTCTCTCTTTCTGCACTCATTCATGTTCCATTAATGCATGTTACTAACTTCACTTCTTCCCCGGAGTTCTTGTGCTTTCTCGTCTCGCAGGTTCTTATGGATCCTGGTGGAGCCTCCTGCCATGGTCCTGCTAGACTGCCATTGCCAATACTGTTGTTGCTGTGCACCTGTCTGTCTGTCTGTCTGTCTGTCTGTCTGTCTGCCTGTCTGCCTCTCTCTCTCTCTCTCTCTCTCTCTCTCTCTCTCTCTCTCTCTCTCACCCCAACTGGTCGAGACAGACGACCACCCACCTAGAGCCGGAGGATCTGTCCTAGGTTTCTGCCTTTTAACAGGCAGTTTTTCCTTGCCCTTGTCTCCAAGGTCTTGCTCATGGTGGTACTGTTGGGTCTCTGTAATTAATGTTATAAAGAGTTCGGTCTAGACCTGCTCTATTTGAAAAGTGTCCTGAGATAACTTCTGTTATGAATTGGCGCTATACAAATAAAATTGAATTGAATTGAACTGTTGAACCCGTTACAGTTACTGTTGAACCCGTTACAGATACTGTTGAACCCGTTACAGTTACTGTACCTGTTAGTACTTTAATGTCTTTCTATCGTCTTAAGAGCATCAACACATCCGGAACCAGTTCAACATGAAGCTGCTGCAGGAACTCGTTTAAAGCCTTGGAGCTTCATCTGGGGTTATTTCTCTTCTACATTGTGTGTGTGTTCATTCCGAACCGACCGGACCGACCGGACCGACCGAACCCGAACCGACCGAACCAGTCTCACTGTGACGTTAACGGTCTCTTATTATACATTAGCTAGCCTATCGTTAGCTCCCTTGCTGTTAGTAAACGTACCTGACTTTCTCCTGGCTGTAGCCGATTTTCGCCGTATATGCTCCGTTATCCAGAACTAATGTGGCCATTTTAGAGCCGTGAGAACCTAAAACTGATTAACTTATTCCACATTTGATGAAAACAGAACACATTACTGCCGTTTACGACGCTCCGCCATTATTTACTGGTCCCGCCAATCAGCTTCTTCCTCTCTTCTGTTTCCGCACTGAGGCAGCCAATCAGGGCTTCCGCTCGTTGGTGTAGCCAATCAGATACAAGGTCCTTTTAGAAAGACGTTCGGGCGGAAACAAGTGCCGTATACTTTTTATCCTCCACAAGATCTGTCGATAATAATTATTATAATGACAACAACAACAACAACAACAATAATAATAATAATGACGACAACAACAACAACAACAACAATAATAATAATAATTATAATGACGACAACAACAACAACAATTATAATATTAATTATAATTATAATGACAACAACAATAATAATAATAATTATAATGACGACAACAACAACAACAATTATAATATTAATAATTATAATGACAACAACAATAATAATAATAATTATAATAACAACAACAATAATAATTATAATGACAACAACAACAATAATAATATTAATAATAATGACAACAACAATAATAATAATAATGACAATAATAATAATAATATTAATAATAATGACAACAACAATAATAATAATAATTATAATGACAACAACAATAATAATAATTATAATAATTATAATGACAACAACAACAATAATAATATTAATAATAATAACAACAACAGTAATAATAATAATAAACTGTTGAATTTAAAATAACGATAGTAATAATAATAATTATAATTATAAAGTTGAACTTATAATATGCAATATTATGCAACAGTAATAATGATAAATAATAAATTCTTCGTCAACAATTCATCATACAAATCAGTATTTAATGAATACATTTTTATTTTGTTTTTTTAAAGCAGTGTAAAGAGAAATATATAGTTAAATTAATTCTGCAAGCCTGCGTTTTAAATGACAAAAATGACCTTGAATAAATGCATGAAATCACAATGTGACAGTGATTGATTTACATTTTTTATTGTGGTTATATACATTTCATAAATGTAAAATACATCATCAGTGCAGCTCGTGATGGAGTCAAATATAAAAGAAAAATAACAGCTAAATAAAGATCAGTATTTTATAGAAATCTTTCTAACATTAGGGCTGCAACTAATTATTTTCTTAATTGATAAATCTGTAGATTATTTTCTCGACTGTTCAATAAATCATTTTGTCCTATAGTGTTAGAAAATAGTGAAATCTTCCAGAGCCCCTGCTGATGCATTTAAATGTTTTGCTTAAAGTCTGTGAGGGAGAGTGGATGGAAATAAATCAACAATAAGATGACCTGATGAAACATACTTTATAAAACAATAACTAGAAAGTGACACCACCGTCTGAACAATCGGTTGGAGGATTGTGTAGATTTGATAATGATGGAACAAACAGCGTCAGCCCTGAAAGAATCAGACTGATGTGGACAAGAGTTCATTTAGCCTGGTCAAACAAACAATGGGTCTCAAAACTAACAGATATAAAATAAAGATAAAGTAACATTGGCACATCTAAATACCCATTTCTCCTTTTTCTCTAACTAATGTGACCTTTCAGCCATCTGTCAGCGTCTGTCCTGCAGCGGTGAAACTAGTTCTTCTGTGATGAGGGGAGATGTTCCTGTGTGACAGGACCCATAAAAATGTTTCAGTCTTTCCCACAGTAACAGACAGTGATTGTTTGTGACGTAGTAACCGGCTCATCCAGCCCAGCAGAGACCAGTTCACAGATCAGTCTTTGGTTCCCATCCTACAAACACTTCCTGGTTTACGTTCCTGTAGCGGGTCAGTCCAGGTATTTGGGGATGCATCCTTCTAGTTGGATGATCTCGGGCCAGTTCTCGTATTTATTCTTGCTGTTGTCGTTCTTCATGTACTGGAACAAACAAACAGAGAGAGTTCTGATCCTGGGTCGGCCCAAACAACAACAACAGAAACCAGATAACAGCAGGAAGACATGAGACCCTTTAAAGCTGCAATGACCCGCCGATTAATCAATGAGTTGATCGATAGTTGATTATATTTAAAGGTTGGACTGTCAGTTGAATAAAACATCACCTTCACTGTTTTATTCATTCTTTTTAAGGAACAGGAAATATTTTCATTTCATTATATTCATTGATGAACCCAGTGAAGGGTTAAAGATAATCAATATAAAATGAACATGAGCTATTAGTTGTTACCTTCTCAAAGTTGCTCTTCACTCCTGCTCCTTTCCCACCAACAAATATCCAGTTATCCCTGAATCCCAGTGACTTCACAGAGGAGCTTCCCAGTTCAGCAATCAGCTTCCTCGCCTCTTCATCCAACCTGGTAAAACAGGTCAACAAACAGTGTAAAATGTGCAGTGAAATATACACTGTGGTTGCATCCTGTTCTATCCATCTGAGGCATTTTTGTATGCCTGGACGTGATACGTGTGTAAAGATTTTCATGCATATTGGAGAAACATGCCACCGGGGCTTAGACCCATATGACACGTATTCTTCACCGTGTTTCGTGGGTTTTTGAGCACCTTTAGCCCCTCAGTAACGCGATTCATTCAGCTCGTTACAATAATTAGAAGGAACTTTTATTGTTTGAATGTGAACTGATCGGGTATCTGAGCCATTTACTTTGACGAAGGGTCGTCGTAAGAAGCCATCAGCACAACGGAGCCCGTCTCAATGCTCTTCAGGAGTTCGATGAGAGGTTTCACATCTGCAACAGAAACACTCATCTTTTAAATCTTCATCATGTCGATGAACGATATTAATCAGAATATCAGTAAATACGTACCGCCGCTGTACATGTCAAAGTGATCGGTCTTTATGACTTCTCCTGTTTTACCTGTTAAAAAAAGAGGCTTTAATATGAGGGACAATTAACCAACAGCAAACAGGTTTATTGGTTCTGAACTCACCATTTATTATAACAATGTTTATTCCGTATCCGGCGTTGTTCAGCATCGTTCCAAGAACTCTGCGAGCAGAGGACAGACAAAACAAACAAAGTCTCAAGGCTCAAGTCTTGGATATGAAGTCCTGAGTCCAACAAGTCCAGGTCCTGAATCTTACGATTCATTATGCTCCACGTTCATAAAACAGGAACCGTTAGCATAGACTAAGAGTAAAGACCCACTGAAAGCGAACTGGGAGAAAATTGCTTCACAGGGAATTGTGGGACTGTGAAAACATGTTGACCAGTGACGCCAACTTAGCAATTTTGTTGCTAGATTTAGCAACTTTTTAGACTACACAGGAAACTTTCTTTTGAAGAAGCACCTTTATTTGGACATTTTTAGCACTAAATCTAAACAAACACATTTCCAAGATGGCTGCTCGATTCAAGTAATGTTGTTGTGTATTCAATGTAATGAAGTCATTACACAATGATGTCGTTAAAAGCAGTGAAGCAAACAGGAAGTGTTTGAGGAGAAGAGGGAGTTGAAGACCTACAGTTTTTTCTGGACACAGATCTTTGGACCCACAACGTTAGCCGCTCCACTCTGGATGGAGAAGCTGAAATTATCCTCTGGACAGGTTCTGTGGACACACGGTCCGGCTGAAGAGGAAACATTGATTAATCCCCCATCAGATCAACTTCAACCCTTCGTCCTGATCAGGTTTAATCGATCACTAACCTGACTGTTTAGGAGGCACCATGGAGGACTGACTGAGCATGTCTGCAGGTAAAACCTGACGCCAGTCTACTGGAAAAAGTTCAATCACAGAGATGTTTGAATCAGCATAGTAAAACTTCAACAGTCTGAGTTATATAATCACATTGGGATCTTTAAGTTAACGCCTCTTTGGTTTGAAATTTCCAGTGTCAAACTTTGAAAAGCCCCTGATGTATAAATTAGATTTTCTCTTCCAAATCAGTCTTTATGCAGACGATACTGTCTTATACCGTGCTGATCGTCCATTTCATCACTGAACAACTCTCTTTTAAAGGAATAGTTATCTCAGGACAGTTAAGCATGAAGACATTTCACAAAACACAATGAGGTCAGTATACCCTCATTCCAGAGAGATAAACAAATATACAATGTGATTTAGTTTTTTTTCTGTTTTTGGATGAATTAAAAAAAACAGAAATCGTCAAAATGAAAAATGCTATAAACACACAACATTTCGACACACACAGTAGGGGCAGAGTAATAAATGTTGCTGTACCTTCGAACGGGTTGCCGTAGTACTGCAGGATGAGCATGACAAACAGAACCAGTGGCACAAACACAAACATGCACTGCACCGCCCCTGCAGAGACACACAGATCTCAAAGTTGTCACCAGCTCCACCATTCACACCTGATCCCAGCAGGGAGGATGACAGACTTTAGTTGATCCAGTTTTGTGCTGTCAGACCAGTAAAAGTCCCAAACCTTTCAATCTGAAGGACATTTCTACCGACCTCGTCTGAGTTTCCCTCTCTTGTCTGTTTCATCATAATAATACTAATAATAATCAGTTATTTCCCCCCGATGCAACAGTGAGTTTAAAATGGACATTTTCACCTATGAAATATGCTTTGGTTAATGTGCTATCTATTGTTTGAAGTTAACCAGCAGTTTTGTGTTTTATAATGCCAGATTATGGAAGTTAAATGATCTCATTTATTATTATTAGTATTATTGATTTGGAACCATAACCTAACCACTGAATGAAATCAATTGTTTAATCAGATTTCTGTGTTCAGATGTGCAAACCACATCAGATACGCAAAAGCTTTTTCAGAGCCTATTTTGGAAATGTGTACAGAAACCTCAAGAAACTACTGCAGTACACTAACACAGTATTTTAATATGTTGCTCTTTTTTACCCTTTGTGAACATTATGTTTGTCCTTGATTTGCAGTCTTGTAAATTTCAAGTTTGTGACTGTTGGATGTTTGCTTTCACTTTATTACCCCACTCTGTACACGTGCATTCAGAAGAGTGTAACTGAAACACCCTGCATAAATAAGAGTTGATTTAAAGAGTCAATTATCCTGATATGTGTCTGGTATTTCCAGATACAACCAGGAGTTTACTGTTCGGACTCGTTGCAACAACAAAGCCAAACAATGTGTCTTTGTGATCTCATTTTAGACAAAGGTGGAAACATGTTCAAAGAAACAATCCAATGTCAATAATCAATAAGGAAGTGATCATAAAACACTCACACGGTCATGAGTTTTCAGACTGAATTAAAACTTACATCCTCTGATGTTTACTCGTCGCATTTTTGCTTTTCCTGTTAAAAAAGAAAAACATAGTGTTAGAAAAAGTCAGATTAAAGCTTCCATATGTCAGTCTGTGAATCCTGTTTCTATAATAACCAGTGGGTGTGTGAGAGTGAACAGGTTGTAACGCAGCGACTTCCTCTGCTGCCTGAGGACATTTATCAGGATGAAATACAGTAGTTTTATGTAACAGAATATGGAATCATCAAACATCATCAGTTTGAATTGTAATGTCAGAGTGGATTATGGCTGTCACAACACACACACACACTGTAATAACAGCTGGATTAACACTCCTCACTCACACACCGCTCCATTGTCCCGTGTTGTTATTGGCTCTTTAATCTGACGTGGTCAGATTCACCCTTGGTTGTTTTAAACAGTTTCCTACCGTAACACGAACACGTTTACTGATTGGAGAAAGGTGAATGTTCTTTTACTGTTCTTCTGATGAATTTCTCCTTTTTTAAACTTTTTTAATAGTTCAAGCTGCTACGAGCAATTACAGAACAACTAATATTAAAGAGACTGAAACTCTGAAAGATATTCAGTTTACTATCATATAAGAGAAACACTCAATTTCTCTGGAGGAACTGAAACCAGCAAATGTTTGGTGCTCAGTCATCACATTAGTTAACAGCTGACTTATTGATTACTTGACCCACTGTTTCAGCTCTAGATGCAACGCAAATGTCAAAAACAAATCCATATAGAGGTAAAACTGTGTTTTCTGTAAAATATAACTAAATTAAAATCACAATTTCCCCAAGCTGAAAGCCACTTAATCCAATGTATATTACATCATCAACTAACAGTCAAAAAGCCCAAATATTACATTTAAAATTGTATAAAACAGACAAACCTCAAATTGGAGAAACTGGAAGCCACAAATTATATCAAAGAATTAATTAATTATAAAAATAGTTTTCAAATTGAGAAAGAATCAGTAGAGAACTGAAGCTAAACAATGAAGTGAATAAATACCCCAGTAGTGCTGCGAATGCAACCACACCTGTGCAGGTAGATACTGACACACAGATAAATAAATGAATGTCTTACTGACCCACTCTGACTGTGAGCATGTCTCTGACAACCGGTCCCGCTGCCTCTGAGTCCCGGGAGGCGTTCAGTTACCGGAGCTGCCAGGAGGAACAGGTTGATCCGGTTCCGCATCCCTGATCTTGATAACATTGTTACAGCCAATCAGCTGCACCCAGGAGGCCAGAGTCCACCTCAGGCAGCAGGTGACAGCATCATAAACACGCTGATGGCCGATTGGCTGACGTTCATAATAGATAGTTCCTACATCCTGTTTGTTAATTAGCAGCTGTGACACTGATGGGGGGGCAGAGGGGGGCAGAAATACGAACTGACTTAATCCCAAACTATCACATTATTCAATATTTGCCCCCAAAGGAAGATCTCTGAAGTGTGACTCATTGATCCTTTATCTCAGTGGCTCTCCCCTACAGGAACTGAGGAGTACTGCAGCACCTACGTGAGATTTTAAAAGAAAATATAAGATGAGCTTTGTTTTGTGAAGGGAGGGGGAACTGCAGTATATACCCCTGAAGTGCGGTATCTGCCCTTACAGTGCGGTATCTGCCCCTAAAGTGCGGTATCTGCCCCTACACTGCGGTATCTGCCCCTAAAGTGAGGTATCTGCCCCTACAGTGCGGTATCTGCCCCTAAAGTGAGGTATCTGCCCCTACAGTGCGGTATCTGCCCCTAAAGTGAGGTATCTGCCCCTACAGTGCGGTATCTGCCCCTAAAGTGCGGTATCTGCCCCTACAGTGAGGTATCTGCCCCTAACGTGAGGTATCTGCCCCTAACGTGAGGTATCTGCCCCTAAAGTGCGGTATCTGCCCCTACAGTGCGGTATCTGCCCCTAAAGTGCGGTATCTGCCCCTAAAGTGCGGTATCTGCCCCTGCAGTGAGGTAGACGTAGTTACTCCCATGAAGACGATCCTGTAACTGGCCTTGCAGCTGTTTATCAGCGTGCAAATGTAGTGACAGAAAACTTTGAATTCCACAGCGAGGGTGTGCCACAGAGCTCCAGGTTCGGGCCCCAGGCAGTACGCAGACAGCCCCGTCCGCATTGTGGAGCCGGGCCTGTTCTTCTTGGTTTGACTTTGACAACTCATAACACTCTGAGCACAAAGACATGATGGAAATATAAAAAAAACAAAAAACATCCAGGAACCTGCAGAACCTGAAACCTTCTTTAAGTTTTCTTCAAGATAAATGATTAGCTCGCTAGTTTCTGTAGTAAAACATGGAAATCGATCTGAATCTTAATAAGATATTATAGCTAATATTGAGCTCGACTGAACCAAATGAAGCAGCTGTTTAGTTTTTGTTTGTTTTAATAAAAAAAATATAAATGTTTCTGGTTCCTTCATTTAACACAAAGTCACAGATTTTTATTATGCTGTTTAAAAGTATTTAGTCTTATTGGAAAATGATAAGAGACGTTCTCAGTGGTTCTGGTCCGTTTATTGAAGGATACAACATGAACATGTCATCAGGCGCTTCTTGAAAAATAGATTTACAAATAAACAGATGAACTTTGACAATATAAAGTCAATACTGCTGATTTCAAACCATGAAACATTTCACACGGATGCTGCAAACAGACTTGATGTTCGAGACACATTCAGAGTTTCGGTCGGAGGACACAACACAGTTATTGCATTCACATGATGTAAGAGTTCATGTACAGCTCGGATAACGAGTCTCAGCTCAACTCAGAGTCTGTGCTTCCACCGTCAGCTGAAGGGTTAATGGAGCAGAGACAGAAGACCGTCTTCAGGACGAACTGTTTCCAACAGGTAGAGAATTTATTGTGGCGGTCGACCCTCAAAAACAATCATAGACCAGGATACTTAAAAGTTCTCTATGTAACTGTCATTAAACTGTAGCTAACAGCGCCACCAGTGGTCGTTCATTAAACTGTAGCTAACAGCGCCACCAGTGGTCGTTCATTAAACTGTAGCTAACAGCGCCACCAGTGGTCGTTCAGTGAACTGCATCCTGGGCGTCGGCCAACAGAGACAAACACTGAACGCTGTAAAATAACTGACAATCATATTTAGAATAACGTTACTATCTGCAATGTTCCTATATTTTATTTGGACCGTTAGCTCCATGCTAATAACTAGCTCGCTGTTTACAAATCAGCCATCACCACGAAGCAACCAACGTTTGTCCACATTAGCCAGCAAGCTAAAGTTATCCAACTAAAACCAATATGACAATTGCAGTGTCTCAATTTGAATACTTCCGTTAGCACGCTACGCACTTACAAGCGTACTGCGCTAATTTCAGCAGGCCGTTGTGCACCTCCCGGAAATCTAAACATTTTACTTCTTCTACTGTGAATTGCAACCGGACAGAGCATTAGCACCAATACCGGTTTATTTTTCACTGAATTTCTTCATATAAATAAAAAATTAAACTGCTTCAACTTTCTATCTCCTTGAGACACTAGCTTAGCAGTAATGTTAGCTTTGACTTTGGACTCTGTGTTGGACTCTGTGTTGGACTCTGTGTTGGACTCTGTGTTGTGGACTCTGTGTTGGACTCTGTGTTGTGGACTCTGTGTTGGACTCTGTGTTGTGGACTCTGTGTTGGACTCTGTGTTGGACTCTGTGTTGGACTCGGTGTTGTGGACTCTGTGTTGGACTCTGTGTTGTGGACTCTGTGTTGTGGACTCTGTGTTGTGGACTCTGTGTTGGACTTGGACTCTGTGTTGGACTCTGTGTTGTGGACTCTGTGTTGTGGACTCTGTGTTGTGGACTCTGTGTTGGACTCTGTGTTAGACTCTGTGTTGTGGACTCTGTGTTGGACTCTGTGTTGTGGACTCTGTGTTGTGGACTCTGTGTTGTTGTGGACTCTGTGTTGTGGACTCTGTGTTGGACTCTGTGTTGGACTCTTTGGACTCTTGTTGTTTTGTGGACTCTGTGTTGTGGACTCTGTGTTGTGGACTCTGTGTTGTAGACTCTGTGTTTGGACTGTCTGTGTTGTGGACTCTGTGTTGGACTCTGTGTTTTGTTGGACTCTGTGTTGTGGACTCTGTGTTGGACTCTGTGTTGGACTCTGTGTTGTGGACTCTGTGTTGGACTCTGTGTTGACTGTGTTGGACTCTGTGTTGTGGACTCTGTGTTGGACTCTGTGTTGTGGACTCTGTGTTGGACTCTGTGTTGTGGACTCTGTGTTGTGGACTCTGTGTTGTGGACTCTGTGTTGGACTCTGTGTTCGCCCACTGTTGGCACTCGGGAGCATAAAGGTCACAACCTTTGACCCTCATCCTACATAGAGACACATAGAGATCAGTCCACAGGCAGCAGAGGGACAAAGCTACACTACAACCTGTTCACACTCTGCTCATCAATAATCTGATCAATAATCTGATCAATAATCTGATTATTCTAGAGACACAACAGGATTTATTTCTGTTGGCAGAAGCAATGTATGATTTAAGTAGTGAACATAAATATAGTTCTGCTGTCGGTGTGAATATATAATAATAATAAGTCGAGTGCTGTCTCACTCCTGATGTTTGATTTGTATGAAAATATAAAATAAATATAAAATAATGCAGCATAACATCAATATAGATAGAATAAAACAGACAATGAAACGTTTGAGCAGAGTGGAATTATACCTTAAATAAAAAGGATTTTGTACATAAACACTGTGTTTGGGTGGGCCGCCCAAATAATCTCAGTCTGTGGGAAACACCTGAAAGCACATTAGAGGGTTGGTTTGACCTTCAACGTCAGTCCACAGTGGTCTCAGTCCCAGTTAGTCTACACACTGGTGTCCTGCTCCAGGGTCGCACAGAACATCTCCATCAGCACTCGGAGGTCAACGGGCAGAGCTGCACAATAAGACTAAAGTAAACTGTTACAGGTTCCTGTGAAGCTTTATGGACGGCCTTTAGCTCGTGTTTCTATAGTTACGTGTTGGTACGGACGCGTTTCTTTAAAGAATAATATCTACTGAAGTCAGACTTCAGATCAGTTTCTGGACTCCAATCAGAAGGTGTTTATAAAAACAAACAGTGAATCCGACCACTCAGATTAAAGAACCAATAAAAACACTGACATGAGAACAGAGCAGTGTGTGAGTGTTAATCCAGCTGTTATTACAGTGTGTGTGTGTGTGTGTGTGTGTGTGTTAATCCAGCTGTTATAACAGTGTGTGTGTGTGTGTTAATCCAGCTGTTATTACAGTGTGTGTGTGTTAATCCAGCTGTTATTACAGTGTGTGTGTGTTAATCCAGCTGTTATTACAGTGTGTGTGTGTTAATCCAGCTGTTATTACAGTGTGTGTGTGTGTGTGTGTGTGTGTGTGTTAATCCAGCTGTTATTACAGTGTGTGTGTGTGTGTTGCCATAATCCGCTCTGACATTACAGTTCAAACTGATTCAATGATTTCATATTTGAATGCTGTTCTGCTACATACACTTACTGTATGACATCCTGATAAAGGCAGCCACATTTCAGGACATAATGACAAAGTTCAAACACTTTGTTAGTGTACTGACTTCCTCATTATCATTATCATTATTATTATTATTATTATTATCATCATCATCATCTGAGCTTTAAAAACTGGCTTGTTACTTCAGTGTGAACACTGAGGGGAATTATTGATGATTAAACTCGCTGTGTGTAGCTCACTGAGAGCGCAGCAGCCACCAAAACAGCCTGATGATCAATATATTTATATATATCAATATTTAATAGTTCAGGACATTTATCTGGTAATGCTTTTTAACTCTAGATTTGAACCAGATGAAGGATTTTAGTCATCGGACGTCTGGATCTTAAGTTATCAGAGAAACAAGCTGAGCTAACGTTAGCAGCAGCTCGGCTCGCAGCCCCTCCGGGACGTCCTTTGTCTGTCCAACAGCGTGGGAGAAGCAGTGATTGTTAAGGTGGAACTGCTTTATTCAGTGTGTTTAAGGTGGAACTGCTTTATTCAGTGTGTTTAAGGTGGAACTGCTTTATTCAGTGTGTTTAAGGTGGAACTGCTTTATTCAGTGTGTTTAAGGTGGAACTGCTTTATTCAGTGAATATGACAGAATATGGAAGCTCTGTGGTGGGTGTAAATATAATTCTTTAAAAAAGCTAAATTAAAATATCAGTATTGTTAAAATGATTAAAATGATTGATGATCGGTTTTGGAGTTATCGATCTGTCAGAGTCGACCTCATGGATCCAGATCCTACCTTCAACAGGGACGAGTTCATTAACTATTAATCGTGCAGCTCTCCTGTTAACACCTCCGGGTGGTCTACAGGTCCAGGGCCGGACCCCCAGCGGGGTCGGGTCTCCGGAAGACCAACAACCTACATCCAAACGTGGCTCGACCACAGCGGCGGACCAGGTCTCCCCCGTGGTCTGTCAGTGCGGTTTACTCCTCCAGCACAGACCAGGATGTCTCTGCAGGGACGGTCTACGTCCCAGAGTCTACATGAGGGCGTTGAGGTGTCCGGAGTGTCCTACAGAGTTCAGCATCAAGGCTCTCTGGTCCAGCACCTCCCTCTCTCTGCCCAGCGTCGCTCTCTCCTGCTCCACCATGGCTCTGTCCCGCTCCACCGCCGCCCTCTCCCGCTCCAGCCACACTCTCTCCGCCTGCACCGCCGCCCGCTCTCTCTCCACAGACGCCCTGTCTCTCTCCATCATCTCCCTCTCTCGCTCCAGCGTCGCCCTCTCCCTCTCCACCATCTCCCACTCCCTCTCCAGTCCTCCCAGCGGCCCGTTGCACGACTCCGAGTTCCGCTGGTTCTGCTCGGCGGCGGCGGAGTCACCGAACGCCTCCTGTCCGTAGTCCGAGGAGGACGAGGGGGGAGGGGGAGGATGGGAGGGGCGGGACCGGTGTCTGGGGGCGGGGTCGGGTTGCTGCTCGTCGTCCTGTGTGACGGGGGTGAGGAGGGGGGCGCTGCTCGCCAGCCGGCCCTCCATGGCTTCGTTCATCAGGTGAAACCACGGCCAGGAGGAGCTGCCGTCTGCGACGCTCTCCATCCCAACAGGAGGGTACTTCAGATCCTACAGAGGAGATAAACTGAGGATCAATCCGCCGCGGAAAATAGTTCCCAACAAAGACTCCTGATCAGCCTGATCACTAATCAATACTCACTTTATTAAACTAACACCATCAGACAACCTTATCAGACTTTAGCAGTTAGCTAGTGTCTCCATAGTGGAGACAGAACGAGGGACGTCCAGGTCAAGTTTTTTAGCCCCCCGATCTGATCTGAGTCATTTAATACTGAATATCTGTCCCCGTCTCATACTTCCATTAAAGTTACTAAATTGATCTGTAATTCATTAAGAAACTAAATATCCACCTGGAAGCTGTTCCTTAACAACAACAACAACAACAACAACAACCACACACACACACACACACACACACACACACACACAGCTGATGAAGCTGTTTGATGTAACATAAACACAGCCGGTACCGATCAGTTTAAAAACGCCCTGATCGGCGCCGATTGTTATCGTTGTATCTGCGCTCCTTCACTGACACTGACAAGTGGACCAGTTCAATGGTTGGTGGATCAGATACCGGCTCATAACGCTGTTCATTCACCGTTTGTATGTGTGTGTGTGTGTGTGACTGTTCATTCACCATCTGTGTGTGTGTGTGTGACTTTTCATTCACCGTCTGTATGTGTGTGTGTGACTGTTCATTCACCGTCTGTATGTGTGTGTGTGACTGTTCATTCACCGTCTGTATGTGTGTGTGTGACTTTTCATTCACCGTCTGTATGTGTGTGTGTGACTGTTCATTCACCGTCTTATTGTTGTGTGACTGTTCATTCACCGTCTGTATGTGTGTGTGTGACTGTTCATTCACCGTCTTGTGTGTGTGTGTGTGTGTGTGTGTGTGTGTGACTGTTCATTCACCGTCTGTATGTGTGTGTGTGTGACTGTTCATTCACCGTCTGTATTGTGTGTGTGTGTGTGTGTGTGTGTGTGTGACTGTTCATTCACCGTCTGTATGTGTGTGTGTGTGTGTGTGACTGTTCATTCACCGTCTGTATGTGTGTGTGTGACAGAGCCAATGAGAGCGAGCTCAGTGAGAGCTGATGTCAGATAACAGACTACCTTGTATCTCCTCTTCAGATTGTCCCATTTCTTTGCCATCTGGTAGGTGGAGACTTTCCCCTGCAGCCCGAGCTCCTTCAGGATGGCTCTGAGAGACAGACAGACAGATTCACATCGACCGATGAGACGCCAGATCTCCAGGAACAGCTGATATCACACACATACAACTGATAGTATCTTACTTCCAGGCGGCTTTGGCGGCGTTCCTCCTCCCAGTGAACAACACCTCGTTGGCAGCTCGAAGTTTAATCATCCTCCTGGTGTCCTGGTCCGTCACTGTGACACAGACAAACAATATGAATAAAAATCTTACACAAACAGATAAATAATCCTCTCCCTGCTGATGTAACAAACCCAGAACAACCCGTCTTACTTTTATACGAGAGGTCTGAGGGCGTGGAACACTCCTCCCCGCTGGCGTCGATGTAGGTGACGTTCCCGTCAGCCTCGGTGTTGTCTCCGCCCACCATGCTCTCCAGCTCCGACACGCTGCTCCTCTCTGCCATCAGGCAGTCTCTGTCGGGGGGCGGGGACGAGCCGAAGACGCCGTCCTCCTCGCTGCTCCACACGGGCGTCACTCTGGGAGCTTTCCCCGCCAGCCGTCCCTCCAGAGCGTCGCTCATCAGCTGGAACCAGGGCCAGGAGGCCGGGTTCATCTGGCCCTCCATCCCCCGAGGAGGGAACTTCAGGTCCTGCAGACACACACACACACACACAGATTAAGATACAGATTATTAATCAATGAGACAGATAATCGATTATTATGGTGTTATTCACATGAATCATTCATTCATATAAATCATATTAATCAGTCTCACTGTGGTGATATGAGCCTATAATAATCAGATATTTCTGTGATTTAATGTCAGTAAACTACATCATGATGTCGGGTCGGTCAGCAAATAAACAGCTGTTAAAATACTTGTTTTCTGAATGGAGTTTGGTTGATCGGGGCTGTGCTAACTCAGATTAAAGGGTGAATATCTGCTCACACACACTCCCTGTGCAGATGGGACTGTTGAGTCACCTTGAACTTGGTCTTCAGGTTGTCCCACTTCTTGGCAACCTGGTCAGGTGTTATCTTCCCCGTCAGACCCATCTCCTTCACGATCCCCCTGTGGACCAAACAGACCCCGTCAGTGACATAAAACCTCTAATGAAGGATCTACAGCTGGGTTATTTCAGTGCTCAGATGTTTACCTCCAGGCCGGTTTGGCGGTGTTCCTCCTCCCCGTAAACAGAGACTCGTTAGCGGCTCGTAACTCAATTAGTCGCCTGGTGTCTTCCTCTGTCACTGAGGGTGACAAAAAATCAGTTAGAAATTATAAAGAGCTGAACTACTGTGGACGGTACGAGAGGAAGCTGTTTGACAACCTTCAGCAGGTCACTTATGTGGATCTGTGATGTTCCTTTCAGTCTGACTGAGATTCACACATCAGAACAACACAATGAGATGGTTTTATACTTTTATACTACTGTGGTTTTATTCTGTGGTTTAGTTCTTTTACTTAAAGCAGCTACAAGGAAACGTTAATGTCTGTCCCCCCTGTGGACAGACATTAACAATAACTACATAGAAATATCCGATCCTCTCTCTGCAGGTCTAATTTGTTTATGCAGGTCGTATAGAGGCTGAGACTGTTTCATAACCTTGAAGTAACGAAAAGAGCTCAAAAGTTAATCAATGTAAAGAACAAACAGTTTCTAGAATAGCTCGTTTACACATTTGGTCTTGTTCCTTTACATCTATTCTCTCTTTAAAGCCACCAGACTCCTTTGAGAGATCGTTGCACCTCAGAACCTGGTAAAGTTAGTGTGGATCCGAATGAACGCGTTAAAGCACCAAACTCACACAGTAACACAAACACGACAACTGCTGGAGGCTCTGAAGAGAGACATACACTGAAAACACATTTTCTATTCCACGCATTCTTCCTTGTCAAAACCTGGCACCTACATTACCCACAATGCATCTCAGCAGTTGGGATCCATGTTGGTTTTCTTACATTTGTAGGTGAACTCGGCCATCCGGTGCAGCTCTCCCAGCGCCGAGGATCCGTTCTTCTCCTCGTTATCAACCAGCAGGTCCATCTCCGACTCCGTCAGGAACTCGGCCATCCCCCCTCGGCTCCGGCGGGCTCGTTTCTTGGGCGTGGGCGACAGCGGCTCGCAGTCCTCGTCTTCGTCCTCCACGATGGGCGTGAGGATCGGCGCCGCCCCCGCGAAACGCCCCTCCATGGCGTCGTTCATTCGGTAGAACCAGGGCCAGGAGCTCGGGTTGGTCTCCACGCCTCGAGCAGGAAACTTCAGCTCCTGGTAGAGACAGAAAGCTCTACAGATCGTCCACAGAGGGACCTTACCCTCCTGTCAACCACCAACTCCTGTTATCCGTCACCTGCAGGGACGTCTCTGCGAGTGACGGATAGGTGGTCTCTGGAGTTGGAGGTGCCCGGACCTACCTTGTATCTCCTCTTCAGGTTGTCCCACTTCTTTGCTAACTGATCCGTGGTCAGCTTCCCCTGAAGACCCAGCTCGTACAGAATGGCTCTGCAAGAGAGGAGACGCAGGATTAGACCCTCCTGAAGTGACCTGGGACCAGGTCTTTGTACCTTTCACGAGTCAGCATTTATTGGTTCTTTTAAATTCATTATGATGTTATTGATTTATTGAGAAATGACTCTGATCTGTTGGTGGAATTATCAGTTCAGCTCTCATGATGACGAGTTAAACACAATAAAATATACAACAAACCTGATTCTGACTGTTAATGGACCAATGGAGTTATTATCAAAGATTTTATCATTTGAAAATTAAACCTAAAACATAATTAACTGCACAACTCAAAAGGACTTTAAAGTCAGATGTGACTGACAGGAACCTGTGGACCCGGTGCAGCTAACAAACTCACCTCCAGGCCGGTTTGGCTGAATGTTTCCTGCCGGTGAAGAGTGCTTCGTTGGCGGCTCGAAGTTTGATCATTCTCTCTGTTTCTGGTTCAGTCACTGAGAACAACAACGGTCAGAAACTATTACACTATTTAACAGATAACTTATAGATTGATTCTGTAGCATTGACACATTTAACTCTGTTTTATTCCTCCGTGTTTAATGATGCAGGTTTGTGGTGAAGACTCTCAGGTTCATTACAGCCAACCAGTTTTACACTAATGAAACATTAACTTCTAATCAAGAAGGATGTGTTTTACTTTACAGAAAATTAATCTTTACAAAGGGATTGTTGAACCACTGTGCGTCTGTTTATCAACCACAGGCCGTCTGACGTCATCATACGCAGCCAGGTTTCCACCAGTCAGTTCCAGGACAACGCAGACTGTTTCCAGGATTTTAGCTCATTTTAATTCATTTCCAGGCGTTTCCATGACTGGAAAACTAGTCTCTAAAGTTCCAGGTTTTCCAGGATTAAGTGATGTCCTGATACACAATTAAAGAACGACTAAAACCCCCAAAACACTTGTTTCTGCTGAAGCCCTCATAATGCTATAAAAGAAACAGTGAGCTGGTTGAAACCGGCTATTGGCTGATCTGGAGGCGGGTGATGTCACCAACCGACCTCTGCTGCTATAAAACCAACATCTCCACTCTGCTACGTAGCCGTTAGCCACAGACACCAGAGGGTTAGCTTCTCTGAGCCGCTAGCTTAGCTCTGTTAGCTCCGTTAGCTCTGTTAGCTCCGTTAGCACTGTTAGCTCTGTTAGCACTGTTAGCTCTGTTAGCACTGTGTTAGCTCTGTTAGCACTGTTAGCACTGTTAGCTCTGTAAACAACCTTCA